ATGTAAGACAGTGGGCTCCATACAAGTATCGAACCCAAGCAGCGTATGGCGAAGAATTGTGGAGCTGTATATTCGGAATCGGCTATCGACCGGCTGAGGTAGTAGAGGACTTCTGTGATGTATGCCAGGAGTATTGTGACCATGAAAGCCACTACGCTTATCCGTCTTTTCTGTGGCATCATTCGTGTTTTCTGTAGGATGCAGAGACCGAACACGCACGCTCCTACGTAATAGAAACCGACCGCAGGAGCGTGCATGTAGCTCAGCAGCTTTATGGCCGAGTAGAACGGCGGTGGCGATTCGCCTTGGTCCATGATGAGGGTCGAAGTGGTGGATTTGTTAAAGGTTCAGGAATCCCACTTATGGCAGAGCTGGTCTGAGACGATTGTGGTTGGGAGGCGAACCACGCCAGTGTTTGGGGAGGCTGGACAGGCGATCTTATTCTTGCTCGCACCCTTTTTAAAGACAGGCGATATCGTCAGACAGCTCAGTCCACAAATGGCTTGAAAGAGGCCGCTGAGATTAGAGAGCCTAGAACCATAGGAATCCGGCGTCGGCGAAGAGTCAATCGAAAAACCCTGTTCCAAGAGTTTGGGGGCTGTACGATCTGCAGCACCGCCACAAGACCGTCATGCGCTTGATGACAGCCAACGTATGCAACCAAGGAAACGAAGAGTGTATCAGATTAGGAATATGGCGTATAGATGCAGAGTATCTGCGCTCGGGTTGACGATGGCCCGAAGGCGTGTTGATGTTTCGCAAAGAGATGGGCAGTGAGGGCAGGGCTGTGAGTTCTTGTAGTGTAGCGACAGGCCATGCCCTTGCTTGCACGATTCATTGCACCGGCGTTTGATGGCCAGGACAGGGTGATACATGACGGGTGGGTTCGAGTAGCTCCCACATCTTACGCGATATGCTTTCGCCAGTCAAGATGCAGCAGTGCTCGTTGCTGGCAAATTAGTGGGTGTGGCTAGTAAGTAAGGGCGCGGTCATCTCTTGCGCCCCTGCGCGCCGCTGCCTAAGCCTATACTACGCCAACGCTTATACGCTATACGCAGCAGTCAACCACATTGCACCTCGGGGCTGCCGTGCGTTGTCGGGCAGTCGAAGATCATCCTCACTGAGGGTCCATTTGCTCAAAATGAATGATCACCGATAAGAAGCGTATGTACGCGATGGCAGAGAGGTGGGGAGTCTGCTATGCGCGCTGGAAAGGCCTGGCGGGGCAGCTCCAGGCAGAAGTCTGACGGCACAATGAGCAATGCTAAGGACGCCTCTTAGGCTCCATCAGCGCTGAAGTGAAGTGCGTCAAAACAAGGAAGCCAACGAAATTGCAACGCGCGCTTTAGTCTTTATGAGTACAAATCGTGGACTGCGAGTGTAGGGCTGGAACAGGGTGGCTAGGACAGATGCGGCTAGCGTCTCTGCATACCACGTCGGTGACGCGATAGCCAAGGGTTAGTTCGACTACACACCTGGTGCTGACACCCACAGGCTGACATGCATGTCATGTTCGGAGTGGGATGCCCTCTTCTGCTCACTTTCAAGTCAACAACCAGTTACTCCACATTTGTTTCTCACGGCATCATGGCCAAGTCTGCTTCTTTTGCTCAGCCCCAGATTTGACCTATTTCGCCATGAACACAATATAGCACAACGCTATCTGCTTATGCAAGCCCACTCTCCTTTTGTCGATATCCCTGGTTGCCGTGTCTTCTCACTGCTGTCAGGGAAGACCCCTTCATCTTGCCAAGATACTTTGGACTCAAGCTTTGCCCTTGTTCTGGGCACGACCAAACACCAGCAATCCAGAAGACGACACCTCGTAGATCATTGCCTGCATCTTTTAGAGCAAAAACTGGTCCCGAGATCGGCCCACACGCCCCCGCCTGTTCGCACGGTAGAGCATGGGGCCGTTTCAATGCTTAAAACGACCGTCCATCCGTGACAGAATGTCACACCCGTCTTACGCTGATATTGGGGTTGGATGTATTTCCCAATTCGTATCTTGTTCAACGACACTAGATATCCTTCACCGCTTCCCGCGTTTGAACATTGCCAACGTTACCATGAAGCCAACACATTTGTGTCATTTTCACAGAGCCAAGGGCGATATCGTGAACCTGTGACTTCAGTGCCCAAGCATACCGGCATAGAACGTCTTGCCCACCAACCAACACATCAAAGAGTCCCTTCACAGCAAAAAAGAAGAACAAACAAGTTTGTTCCCAAGGTATTCAAACTTCATCCACCATGTGAGCTGCTGCTTCAACTGATTCATTCACGCACCTGGCCTGTGTTGCACATATATAATTCCACCTTACCGCCTTACTTTATAACCCGTACTGTGCACATCGGTGTGCATACATCAATCTTGTAGAGTTGTACCTTAGACGCTCCAAAAGCCAGACCATCCAGAGTGAATAGCCTTCCCAAACGGACCAATCGCGTTAGTGGATGTGAGCGTATTCCTACTCCCAGCACAATACAATTTCACCCTGACCCTCTCATTGTTGAACACTCCTCACAACTTCATCCAACCTCTTTCCCCCCACCACCTCCGCGGCCGCAGTCGTCTCCTCTTCTTGCCGCCGCATTTCCCTTTTGCAAGTGCAACAGTCCAAATCTAACCTCTTCTCCACGCAGTTCAAGCGCCCAAGTGAAGCACTGACAGGGAACACACAACACTCAAGCCACGCCAAACAAACGAAAAGATGGATCCTCCCGCCACGCCAGACTCGAGCTGTAGCACTGGCAACAAGGACCTCACACTCACACCAGAAAATTCATGCATTCACCGTGGGCCGTTCCATGCAAACGCCCCACCCCATATAAACACACCGTATCACTCCCAAAGTTCTCTCCTACTACAGACACCTCAAACTCCAGCAAGTACAACTCCAACTGCTTGCAACATTGACGAGTCACTATACACTAGAGTAGCTGTACACACCGCCAAGTGTACCGAGTGCGACAAACGCAACATGGACACCATGCGGCGCTGCCCCGGCTGCACTTTCCAAGTCTGCCAGCCATGCTACGAGAAGCGACAACGCGAGGGTAAGGGACTTGTCCATGGCAACATGCCATCCCCCGATGAGACTGGAGTTGCGACTCCAAGTGGTACTGGGGCGAGAGCATCGAGGAAGAAGCCAGTAGGTAGCGCGGCCAAGGCCAGTAGTAGTTTCCAGAAGGAGGTCGATGAGGAAGAGTCAAAGGAGTGTAAGGACAGTGTCCAGAAGGCAGGCAAGCACACCCCGTCTGTACCCAAGTCGAAAGCAACGAAACGGTCACGCGGCCGCTCTTGCGTCAAGGACAGCGAGCCGGAAGAGTCGTCCGAGGGCGAGGTCGATCCAGACCACGCATCTCCAACTCCTAGTAAACGCCACCAGAGCCTCTCCTTCGCAGAGAGTGCTCTCGCGACCGCCACCAGAGCACCGCCAACCACTCGTGCTGCTCTTCGATCAAACCCAAGTATAGCGTACCCAGAACCTCCAACCCCACAGTCAGAGACTGCGCGGCCCCGGGTCCCAGTCACTCATTCGCGCGAAGATTATCCCTATGACGATCTTTTGTATCAAAACTGCGTTGTTGGCTACGACGAGCCGCTACTAGCCCGCTGTGAGCCCGTCACATACAACCCTGCCGGACGTATCCCAGCCATCATCCAGCGAGGCGGCCGCCGTCGACGACCAACAGCCGACGAAATCTACCAGAACATCCAGAAAAAGGTTCGGGAAAAGCTGGAGCAGATTCATGCTGACCGGTTGACCTCCGGCGCTGAAAAGTCCCCTGTACTTGCTTCACACGTAAGTAGTTAAGAAAAAAAGAGGCTATAACTAGATTTCATTCTGTTCTTCTTTTTCAGGGGCAGAATACTGATGAAAGCGTAGCAAGCTCCAGATGCCAAGACCGCCACGACTGTCCGCGCATTCGTCGAAAAAGAAGCGATGAGGCACCAAGATGCCAACATCCTTGACGAAGACGACGGTAAAATTCTGTTCCGTACCATGCAGAGTGCAGCGTTGGCATGGGGAAAAAAGACGTTTAAGAAACAGGAACCGGCCATGCAGCGTCTGCTACTCCCAGGCTTGAATCTGCGACTTGATCGGATCCCTGATAAGTACACTACGGAACTGCGCGTCTTGATGGATGGGGTCGTGGAGCGCACGTTGCATGAGTTGGATGAAGCGGCGACTTTGTCCGCGACGTCGCCGCCTCATCCGTCCGGCTGATGGTGTGGTATGACGTCGGGTGGTGTCTGCGTCTACGTTATGTGTAAGGCGCCATCACCAATGCTTTCCCCGTAAGAATGGTTTTTGTTTTGTATCCCTGCTTCTTTCGGCCGTGATCTTTTCACGCGGAACCCTATGAAGCGATTGGTATAGGGATCTTGTATAGTAGTCTGGCATTTGCCATACAGTTTGCCGGTGATCATGGGAGAAGAATCCAGTCTTGTTCAAATTTGTGATTTGACAAGTAGAGGAAACAATAATGTGATGCATTTTTACCATTCTTTGGCCAGTAAGAAAGTGTGAGGAAGACGATAGGACAATATTGACATGACGCAAAAAAATCATTTTGAACCTGCCTATGCTAACACTAGGAAATATGCGAATGGTAGATGCAATGCTGATTGAAAAGAAACAATATATATAAAAAAGGAAATATTACGGGTATCCGGAATGGGTAATCATACAAGGAGTAAAGTAAGTTTCGGAAAATGCAACAGATCTCTGCCTCTAAGGGCACGGGTCATGGCGTTGGTCACGGGTTTTCGCGTGTCTATCTTTGACCGAATTGGATCGTCAGCTTGCCGTTGGCTGGCTTGATCTGGTCCAGTTCGTCCTCCCCTTGGCTGCCTACAGCGTTCTCGAGCCAGGTTGTTTCGTCGTCTTCGTTGTCTCCGGCGGAAGCTGGGCGGCCGTGTCTGATGGACTTGAAGCGCTCGTTGAAAAGATGAGCATACTCGTCATTCTTGGAAGGTTGCTCCGTGACCTCGGGGAGTGCGCTCGGTTGCGAAACGGGGATCAACTGTCTATAGGGGATGACATCAGAGCTGGTATTAACAAAGCCCATGAAGACAAGACACTTACTCGTTTGTTTCAGCGCAGATACGCTCTAGGTTCTCTCGCTGGCGGCGAAGCTCCTCAGGGTCAGGTTGAGGCACATTGTGAGTGCTGCTGGCAGTGCCATAGTTGGGTTGGTATTGGTCCCCGAGAAGATGTGAAGCGTCCGACTGCTACAAGGGGATATGTCAGCGGTTTCCTCATTACAGAAGCACACACAGGGCGACTTACATCTATATCCGAAGTCCTCTGCCCTCCTAAGCACGACGCGCAAACACCCATTGCAATGTAAAGGGCGTGTTACGTAGTGAGTAAAGTGGTGCGGGGAGGGCAGAACAGCGGAGACGAAGAATCTGCTTTCTGGGTAGTTTACGAATGTATGTGAATGTGTACGCCACTCGATACAGCGTGTTATCCAGTGCAGTAAGAAGATTGTTGCTGTCACTTGTTGCGACAAGGGTTGATTCCTTGGAGTTGTGATGATCGGCACCAAACATGTCCGACCTCTTGGCGATTTCAAGCCACGCGCCTGCGCCACATTCGATGAAGTATCACGTGATCATGGCGTTTACTGCATCTTTTGAGATCCCAACGTCCATCATGAGATGAATTGGTCATCCAGTGAGTGTTTTAATATATTTTATCTCATCTTGAGGCTACCTGAAGTTCTAGATGCCACTTTAGACCTGGAATGCACCACAGGTGAGTTGTCTCGCATCAATTCTACTCCGATTACGTCTGCGTCGCTACTCAGGTCCTGTTGAATGCATAGATGTTGAGCAGCGATGATGACAATATCGTAACCTGCATGCCCATAGTTTCTCATGATACTCGCATAGCCAATTACCACAGTCTAATTCTTCACAATCATACTGGGCTTCTGGCTCGGTTAAATTAACTTTTTTGGCCTTTGGATGGTTCAGATAGATGGAACGAACAGAATCTGATACAATCAGGGGGAATTTCAGAAATATCGGTTGACACGATCACATACAGCTAAGATCATGATTGGAATCCCACCTGATATAAATCTAGCTGCTCGCATAATCAGGCGCGTTGGCCTCACGGCTATTTAACACCTAGTGGAATCCTTCGACCCATACCCACAAATCACTACCGATGCTCCTGTAAGAGACGTGGGGGTTCAATCATTGCATTGACCGACAAGGGCTATCCTAGACATACGTCGCGAGGCGAGCCGCCCGTGTGCGTAAGGGTAAGCGCACATCTAGGTTCATGAAGGCTGGTTGTACGTAAGTACCTACCACGCCATCACAGTGCTGCAACGACTCTTGCTACAGATGGCATGACTGGAAGTCTAGAGAAGGCATGCATTTTAGCGCCCCTGAGAGCTGTGAGTATCGTTGTTCCTGTTGGGCGAAGTCGGCGGCTTGCAGTTGAGGCAGAATGCCTGTTCTGGGCTGTGATTGGTCGCGCTCTCGGCAAACGTTGTACCACAATCGCATGTCCTACAAGGTCTGCATAGGCTGAGGAGGCTTTGAAAATAAGCAGAAAGTTTCTTTGGTCATAGCAAGACTGCATTGAGTCTGAACGCATGGACTCCCGCTTTCTATTTTCATCATGCCACGGCCAGTGCAGAACAACGATTGGGGGCAATAATGGAGATGGCCAGGTAGACATTCAACGGATCGTACACAATGCGTGCGTTGTATATCGCGGATTGGTGCGGGAGTAAGTGTGCGTCCGTTCCGACATGCATATAATTTGCGGGAGCGCTATGGAAGGTAAGATCCACCCGAAAGGGTAAAGTCATCATGCGCAATACTCGTAGTCGCAACGAAACGAGCTGAATTGGTGAGCGCCAAAGAGTACGTACCGCCGGATACATGCGACTTGGATAGTCGCCCGCGTCTTAGATGGAGCGAAATGAGGATGCCACTGAACAGGTTGCCCAGCTCATCTGAATGAGCTGTTCCAGGCTCTGATTGGTTCATCCTGTGCTTTACATGCGTTCCGGCTAAGCATAACTATACTGATTGTAGCCCAATACGTCCATGTTACGGCCTAAAGATGGATAATCCGTCATAGGCCATGTATGAACCATGTCTTGCGGGCCTATTGACAACACGTCGAGTCGATTTATTGGCCATGTTGTCGTGGTATCGCCTTACGCATCCACCCAGCTGCGTCTCTGAACCCAACCAAAAGCTACGGTACACGAGCGACATCCTGTATTATACCACAGGCGCTTAGGTATAGTCGCTGTGTTAGGGCTACGATCACAAGATACTCTTAAGCTGGGGGGCCCGTACCCTTTTCGCACCCCTCTTTCGCGCCATCAAAACCCCATTCTCTTGTGCACACGGATGCACTAGACGGCACTCGAGGAGATATTAGTGGCATAAAATTGGCTATGAAGCCTACGAGTGTACTGGTGAGCATAACTCAGGGACAGCGTGTGAAGGGCGATCGATCGCCCTTCAGGCCACTCAGCGTTCGCCACGTAAGTCGACATTTTCTACCTTTCTTCCTGGCTCTTCCGACTGATATGGCACTCTCAGGACCTCAACTTTCTTCATCAGCATTGTCCATATCGATACCGTTGAACGATCGGAGGATAATCGAGCGCCACATGGACGAAGAATACGTCGCGATACCGCCAAAACCTCGGAGAATCCCCTCAAGACTGAGTTCACGTCAAGCGTGAGGCTATCGATCACACGAGCATACCCTCTCTTGCTTTGTCCCATTCATAACATTACCCCTCTCTTCGACGCACGTCTTCCAATGATCCGGTACGCAAAGACTTACACTAGCAAGGGATAACGGAGTGAGAGAGTCAGCTGCTACGCCTGGTCTCATGGAAGACCACCCGCCGAAGGAGTATAGAGCTAATATATCGGTGGAAAGGTAACGGACTGGTCTCAGCGGAAAGTTTTCGAGATACGCATAATGATGTTGAGGTGGTGAGCTACTTGGTAACATCATGGTAAATGAGCTAGGATCGGCATATCTTCGGCCTAATTCGATCACGCTATCCGCCCCGAATCTAGCGCCATCACGTGCGGACCGAGCTACGAAATTACCCCACCGCTGTCTCCCGACAAAACAACATCCTCATCGTCCGTCCTCCACTCTTTCTATCCCGACGTTATCATTTGGCTTGCTGAATGTCTACAACGCTCCCGTCAAAACTCTATTGCGCATCTCCCAGCAACCGGAAGAAGCGCCGTTCCTTTGCCTGGGCCGTGCGCAACCACCTCTCCACTTCTATTCGCGGCTACGCGACATTCGCGGATTGGATGGCTTCAGCCCCCAATTCATGGCACAGCGGCTACGTTCACAACGACTAAGCATGTGGCCAATCATGAAAGCCAGGAGAAAAAAAGATTGATTGAATTGTCCAATCCTGAGAGGACTCAATGACTGAAAAGAAGCGATTGTAAGAGGTAACGCCCGGTCTTCCATGTGCCGCTCCTCTTCCTTCAATAGCAGCTCTTCCTGCCTCATGTCGACCCCCGAAACGAAAGTTGAACGGGCTCAATTTGAAAGGAAATACCAAGACGTTGTACATGAAACGAAAACTCCCAGACGCCTGCGCCATGTCCACGCCGAGCTCAGTGAATCGCTTGTAGTCTGCGGTTACGCTCGTTGGTTAGCTCACAGATTTCCCCGTCCAGTGCGCGAATCATCTCCATGGATTTCTCAATAGAGGCCGCGAACTTGTGAGCCTCGCGCTGCCATCGGCCGACACGGTCCACCTCAGCGGCTCGGCGGCGCATCTTGGTGTTGATCTTCTCGCAGAGCTTGCAATATGTGCCAGTAGGAACCGTTTGCATGATGAGCTTCATGCCACACGTCTCGCCGATTCGGTACTCTTTGGCGCAGTGCTGTCGGAAATGGCCCCACTTCCAATCGCCACAGACAAAACGGTGCTGGTCGTAGAAGCACATGTTTCAGAGTAGAAGAGCTGTGTCGTCTGGGGTTCGATTATACATTAGCCTTGGTGTTCATGCTTGGACTATAGGTCTCGAGTACGTACGTATTACTCCTTGTTCAAACACTGGACCTGCTTGATAGGACCAGCGATCTCGTACCTGGAATCGGTAAACTCAGGGGTCTTTGACCTCCGGCCTCAAGGGCACATACACTGGATGGTTGGATGATAGAGAGCCTTGAACAACGATGAGCAAGGCTTAGGGGTAGTAGGTGGGTCGGTTGTTGGACTTGATGTCACAAGAGTTGGAAGATGCTCAGAAGATCTCATCAACGACTGGAGGTTGCTGTCGAGTTGAGTGTAGAGCCAGACTGGAAGCAGCAGCATACCGCTATTTATCCTTACGGACGCATACCTCTCGCCGACCTCATGGGCCACACCTAGTACCCGAGACTGTTTCGTTGTCAGACCATAGATCGCTGCCATGGCCTATCCTTCCTTCGACGTGGTTGCACCCCACCTCGTCCCGTCCAACGACATCGCTACGATTCACAAATCCCTTTCATTCTGACGCTAAAACAATGCGGAGACGGGCTGCAATGGAACCCTAGGCCGTGCCGGCGTTTCCAGCTGCAGAGAGTTATCACATCTGCTAGGGGATCAACGTGTCGTGGCTTCACGAACCACGTAACCTTTGAGTTCCGGATGTGAAAATCCCTCATCTTCCTTGTCGAATTGCCTTAGCGAGCGCTCCAGGATGTTGTGGTATGTCGTTTTCGAGCATTCCGGGCCTCTCATGCTATGGGAGATGGAGCATTTCTGAACCGAGTTGTGGTCACGTGCTACGTGGTTCATGCCGAGTCACCGTCCGCTCTGGATATTCTTTCCTGGGAGTAACAAGCGATTGGCCAATGGTGTCCGTTGAGATACCAACAGCGGACGCCAAAGGAGGAAAGTACGCCAACGAACCCTGAGAGCCCTGGGCACCCCTTCTCCGTTACGAGCTACGGTCAGCCGTTGCCAGATGCATTGGCCAACATATGGAGCACATGTATCAGCGGTGCTCTCAATTGGGCATTTGTCCGCCCTCGAGATTGCTAACATGAAGCATACCCGTGAAATTTCGGGCGTTTACCGGCTCGTTACGCTCGATATTCTGCCCCTCAAGCTGTTGTATGTGACCAAGCTAATCAATCTGTGTAGCATCACTCAGCTTCACCGATGGCGCTCTCTTGCCTCTCACGCCCACTAAAGATTGTTATTCGCCTCTCGTTGCCAGTCCGCGACTGCCGGCCTCTACACGACGGACCCAAGCTGCTCTCGGCCAGTCACCTTATCTCCACTTGCTGCAGTACTACATGTTAGACATTACGTCCGGTAATCCATCATTGCCACTTGCATGGAACACTAGCAACCTCCGCATGCATATTGCCTTGCATGGACTGGGCCCTCTATTCAGCTGATCTCTATCTCCACTCAACGGCTGGCGTTTACCGTGGCCGGCCCAGTGTTGACTAACTAGGCCCTGCACGCTGACAGGCATGCCTCACTCAGATAACAGGATGGCGTGAAGTTTATGCGGAACCTAGCCCCCCATCGCATGTCGAAGCAATCACCTGGACTCCCTGGGCAGACACTAGAACCGGCCAAAGCCTGCCCCATCGGAGATCCTCTGACGTGGCGAGCGGTATGTGGTTGATCGGGGAGGAGGCTATATCCCTGAAATTCATGTCACCATCTGTCATAGGTTTGATGAACGCATCGGCGTTGGCTCGCCTACCTTTCCACGCATAATCAGCATGGAATGCTTGCCTCTGGCGGCCTATGAAGAAGGCTCTATGATTCCGACCTTCTTACCGGTGAAGCCGTAAAGAGGAGATTCCAGGTGTGAGCATTTTTCTGCACTCCATGCGGTGGCAACATGATGCAGCATGTTTCCGTCAATCATCCCAACCAGTCTGCCTCGTTGTCAGATGAGGCAACAAGTCCACATTGCCGAACCAATTGCTTGCACAGAGATAGATTGAAGTGTACGGCCATTATTTTTTTACTCGAATTGAAGACTAGAGATCCATGGCTCGTCTGCAGTAAAGTGAGTGTATAACAGCGGCTGCCAAAAGCTGAGGTGGTGTTGTGGTGCCGTCCGACCTAAGGACGGCCCTCGTGTCATGCACGGAGCCACACCAACCACCACAACAAACATGAGAGCTGCGGCCATTGCTGCGACCGTAGGTAGCTTTACAAATAGCTGCGCAAACAATTGACCCATTGACCAACTTAGCTTGTTTTGGCGTCTCTGACGCGGTGATGTGAGTTTTCATCATTCTGACCGCAGATGAGGCTTGTGTTGCCGTCCTCGAAGGAGTGCAAATGCGAGTGATTATGAATTGACGTTGAAACTTGCTACACGGCACTCCGCACACGCTTGCTGTCATGTGAGGGCAAAGCAATGCTGGGTATTGCGTGGGTACATGAACGGCGGAGAGACTAGGAGGAAGGTCGCACGCAATTTTGATCCCGAGACGAGCAAGTGCTGTGCTTGTGTGGGTCAGCGCTGCGGTCGTTGGCGTCTTCGGTGCATGGGAGGACCAGGTTGCATGTTTGCGGATTGGCGGGTGCCACTGACAGTGGGTCGAATCGGCCTCGCCAGCCTGGGTGCATGTCCCCGCTCGATGAGTGAGATGGTTGGCTGGCGCACATGAGGGGAACTACATACACGTCCATCGAGGCACCGAGTGCTCTCGACGGCGGTGAAGAAGGACTAGATCAAGCCAGCAAGTGCAGATATCAGACACAGGGCGCTATAGGGGTTGCAAAGACTTCACAGGCACGACCTTATCTACGGTGGTATGGCCATCAGGACTGGACGTCTCCAAGAGGCAAAAGAGGAGACCCGCCCGTCTTGGTGGCCAATCTGCCCAGTATAGGTGGGACGGTTGGAGTGGCGGCATCTCAGGCTGAAAGCCTTGCTCCGCCTTCGCCTTCGCCTTACCATGGAGGAAGCATGTGCATGCCCGCTGGGAGAAGCTCGCTCGAGCACGGGAAACTGCTACATGCAACCAAGGTCTAGCCGCATATGCACGAATGAGGAGGGATCAGGGTACAAGTCTATGTTCTGGCTGATTCCACGCGTCGTTTCTGGCTAACGAATACACGAGTGGCTTGTCAGACCGATGACGGTGTGCAGCAGTGATCAAAGACAAAGAAGATGGGCCACCAGGCAGATGTGTGTTGTCAATGCGAGGGCTGCCGAGGCCATGTGTGTATTGCATGAATATAGCAGCCAAAACGGTCTTGGGTCACTGAAGTGGCCGGGACAACAATACGCTGATCCGGAGGAGCAAGGGAACAGCAGGATTTTTCGTGGTCAACCCGAGATATCCCATGCATCTAGTTTAGGCAAAGAGAATACGGCGGAGATGCCATAGTGGCGCCTACATGTCAAGCATACTCCAAACTATGTATCGACAAAGAGGGGCGCGGGTCAGCCTCCGTTGAAGGCTTCGTCTCCAGACGCGGAAATCGCTGCTGGTTTCGGTGCGTGTAGCAAAGTATGAGCTCGGTACGCACTGAGGGCGTCATTGACCATTGAGCCTAGGAAAATGGCACCAAAGCGTATCGAGCCTGAACGTGGTCTAGCGGACTCTTGTGCTGTTTCGAGCCGTCCACATGCACGAGATGACTACTATACACCCAGCGCCACCAGCCTTACCACTGGCATGCTGTGGGAAAGTATCAATCAAATCACTGGGCGCCGTACCGCCCCTCCAATTGGTGTAACACATTGTAATAACAAAACCATGTCCCATTTATTGGATCGCAACACCTGTTAGTCGCAGAGTCCAGCAGTCGAATGAGCGGTGACGAGCGAGTATTAGTAGTTAGAAGGACCGATACCACATGCATGGTAAGCGTATTACCCTTAGATCAGCAAAGTGGAGAGCGACGAGACAAGAGCAACATCAAAGTCTTGGACTCGTTCTATTGCACGGCAGAAGTCGACGACATGGTCAGCGCGAACCGCAACTTCAGAATGGCCGACATGGCGGCCCAGCGCTAGACGAAACCTTGGAGTGTTGAGAAGCGCCCACCAGCCCCCGGGGCAGCCCTTTTCCCTGGTCAAGACGGTACTAAAGGTGAAACCAAGGGAAGGCAGAAGAGAGATGAAAAATCTCCGCCTTGTAGAACTCAAAAAAAAACGGCGTCATTAGCTCGGAACAAAGTCCGCACTTAGGACACTTGTGGGTGCAGCTACGTGCGTCATTAGCTTGCATGTCGAACATTCTTAAGCGAGACAAGAGCGGACGTCTCTAGCCCGAGAACCGGCCGCAAGCATGATGACACTTGCGTAGAATCACTGTCCTTGCCGGATCATAAAAGCCATTGCCAGCCGTGAGTTTGTCGGAAGATAGCGGCGAGGCTTGCCGGGAAGGGCGGCCTAGTATCGTATGTTGTAGACAAGTGAACATGTTCAATTGGTCGGATTGATGCTACTAATATACAAACAGGACGTACGCGGAATGTCACTTCGGCAACAAGATCCCGCGTATACGCGTCTTGGGTACAGTATTCTGGACGTTCCCCCGTTGAAGCTATACGACCGGCTGATCATCATACTTGCTTTGCTACCAGAGGTGAAAACTGGGCCAGCGAAAAGAATCTTTTGCATGAAAAGAAAGTTTCAATGTTTAGTGGATCCTAGTATTATTAAAACGTTATTGTGTCAATGGCCAAGCGGACCCTGACTAAGTCTTTTATAGCATTTCCGACGTTATCCTGATGAGGCTACATTGCATTGCTCTCGTGGTAAACAGAATGCTCAGGCAGATATTACACATGGAGTACATGTCATTCAAGTGACATATCCTTCCCCAATGGGGGCTGTACCAGTCGTTATCTCGCGAATAATTGCCGCGATAGCAGATCTGATAGTATGTTCGAGCGCCAAGCTGCTTTGCTCGAGCATTGTGCAGGGATCCCACGACCACTCTGCGAACAAAGAACATGGGCGCAGGAAAAACTGGCGAGGGTAGCTTGCGTATGTGCCTATCAGGAAATTTCTCTCCCTGTTTTGTGGGCGTATTGTATGCACATACATATGTACGTTGGCTAAGGTTTCCCCTCCGCGATTGGCAGTCTTATCCGAACCAGCCTTCCCCAACTACCATCCCATGTCTTGGGGATTGCAATCACACCAGCCGGTTTGTTTTTGTTTTGGCGCTATATATACTGTCGTATAACAGGCTACTGCAAAGCCCAGACTCCCGCCGCCCAATGCTCGCATGGACATGGTATCTGCGCAAATTGACCGCGTGACGGATCAAAACCAAAGTCTTTATATCGAACCAGCTCGTACGGTATGTTGAAGTATCCGATCCCGCTCTAGGATGTAATCATCGCCGATTGATTCTCTAATTTACATCTGTTCCCGAGAGGCCTCGATGAATATATCATTAGTGGGTGACACAAAATTGTGAAAACACACATTCGAATGGGTGAATGAGCAAGCATATCGTCAACGGATCAATTATCGCAATCTTGCAAAGTTCTCTGGTCTTGTTTAAAACAATAGTTGTTTCGAATAATAGGTTCCTCTGGTCTACGACATTCAACTGGCGGATTCATACGTTGCTTCAAGATATCGTGATAGGGTACTTATCCACCGGGAGAAACCACGGCCGGCGGATTATTGCACTGGTACGGATGACTAAAGATGCAGTTTAAGTTCGAGAAGGAGATCTATGTACCTTGGTTCTCTTGACATTGCAAAAGCCAAATATTACATAGGATACGGACACTTGATCGAATCGCTACCCATGACTCGAGGCTGAAGGAATATTTATGATCCGTCCCGAGTGGTAAACCAGACCCCGACATCACCATTACTGAACACAAGACTTCCGTACTCAAAGTTTATGAACAGCACTGCTACAACGCCAACACCTGAGATCCGGCATGTGCACTCCTATTCAACGCAATACCTTGATTCGACGGCAAGTTTGAGCCTCTTGTTCTCAGCTCTCGAGCTTGGCTCCCTGCGCTAAAACCCAATTTGAGAAATTGGTCGTTCACATATGTCGAGAGCGGCTAGTGGCTAGTACTATCGTCAGCACGGGATCGAGGTTTAGTGCTCAAAACAGGACGTGAAGTGTGAACAATCTTCACCATGAGCCCCTTTAATTTCTGCGAGATGTATCCACGACGATCGAATTTCCTGTGGACAAATCAAAATGAAATTAGAGGGCATCTCCCAACTCCACAATGAGGGACGTACACAAGTTATGCATATGCATGCAACTTGTTGGTATTTTGGCGGCTCGATTCCATTGGTCCACCTCAGCCGCAAACAACCGTTTCTGGACCATTCCGTTGGCAATCAACTCACTTTAGGCTTGAATTCATATTCCTGACCATAGGAGATGATTTACTTGGATACAATACCTTTGAAATAGTCCTAGCAACGACCTGATCTGTTGACCACTGGCAAAGCATCGGGATTGTAGGTTGTGTTTTCCATTGCTTTCGAGATTTTTTCTCTGGTCCAGTAACTCACGAAATAAGAGATAAGTAGTTTTCATCCAGCAACAATTCATAGAGCAGGCGCATGACCACTACGACACCCGCATGTGAGGATGTCCAATCGCATGGAGAATTCGTGCTGAATTGAACTAAACCTAATGTCCAGCAGAGTCAAAGTGTCAGATTCTCGTACTGATTACTGACAAGAGATGATAGTAACACAAACGATATACATGTACAGTGAATACATCCTTCAAACTAACGACATGGGTCATTTGACCTCTGCTCTAATGTTGAAAACCATTTCAACGATCAACTCCGGTACTAACATATTGTCGGCCGGTCTCCTGACCCTCCATGCTCACCCATGCCTAGAATGAATTCCTCAGCGTTCACATGGTAAAGCAACATATCTTGGTTGCCCTTGCGAGGCTACCGAAACCATCGAATTCACATTGAAGAACTTCAAGGGAGGCCAGATCAACAGCGTCAGTTGTGACGAAGCCTACAAACAAGGATCATTTTAGTACTTCCGTCATACGCTAAGATCAACCAGGATTCAGATACATGTGGAAAAGATGGCTTTGATTTATCGGCACTATCTCCCCTGTGGAGACTTTTGAGCGTAGCATAATGCAATGCTCATGAAGGGAAAAAGTTTTGTACTTGTGGAATCTTCATTTGCCAATTAAGGACGGCTGTTTCGCCGGTGGAGTGACTCTCAGAATGAAGACTACTTGTCCAAATGCTAAGAACGATATAGGGAATTTGTAAGAGTACAAGGGCTTGAGATAAACTCCTTCGGCAGGACCGGAGGCCTGGAATGGCAGAAAAGAGAGTGCAGTCTTGACTACTTGTTTTTTGGAGGGGAATAACTCTTTCAACGAGACCTTCGTCTACTGACAGCTTTTCCAAATAGGCTGGTCCAACGTGTTCATGGAATCGTGTAAACAAGAAACAAGAGCATGTAATCAAGGACGTCGAATGCATCTGCCCTCAACTCGAATCAGCAGTCTTGCTCCCGTCGAAATCATGCGAGTCGTCCAGAGAAAATCGTAAGCAACAAGGCCTTCCTAAGCACCAATCTAGCCAATTATAGCTCATCGTCTTTCGACCTCTAACTCCATTGACGCTTCAATACCCATGCACCTCCTGCATTGATGAGCAACATCTATTTCAAATTCCCTCTTCAAGTTCCTTCGTTTCGCATATGCTATACCCCAAAACGACTACTTCTAATCTGAGGTATAGCCATGTACATTTAGGTAAACATACGTTTTAGAACTTACATGTGCTCTCAAGGCATCGCTGATAAGCCCAATTTACACAAAGCTAATCCACAGCAACGTATCGCTATGCCAAACCCCTCCGACTCAAGAGAAATACGAGCCACTAATCCCTTTTCTCAGCCTAAGGCCCATCTACCACCCTGTTTCCATTCGCATACGTTTTATCGTACGAGTTGCTCGCTCGGATTTCTGTTACACGGTGTCAGGATAATAATTATTTCGCGATCCTTTTTATGAACGATGTTAGTAACGTTCTCCCTAGTATATTGATACGAATCGTCTCAACTCACACAATTAGTAAATTCATCCTTTCTACAAAAAAAAACAAGAACAGATATGCCTAGGACATTAAGCAAGCAATCAAAAGCTTTCACAACTCACACAATGTCCAAGTCCAACGATCAACGATTCACACAACGTTTGTTCACGAGTCCCGCATGCAAGCTAAACCAGCTTAGCTGCATAAAAAGCAAAATACACTCTCACAAAGTTCCATCCTCACACACCAGCTACACGGGATGTTCTCGTACGAGCATGGTATTCATCTACACTAACCGTTCACCCCAGCCAACTAGCCAAGCCCAAGTGAGGCGGGGGAGGTCCGAAGCCCTACAAATGCGCGCCAATTTCCGCCATCTTCCGCTTCATCCCAGAAGAGACGTCGTTGCGAAGTCGGCGCAGATACACCGCAACACTTCCATCGAGGTCGAAGCGCTGATCCCGTGATCGCCATGGTCACGGTACAGTAACCCCCGCGCTTTTTGCACCTCAGCAATGCGCCTTTGCGCCCTCGACCACGGCAACTGCGAGCCGTACAAGTTATTCCGACTGTAACTCTCTGCAGCGACATTTGGTCGAGTAGAAAAAAAAACCCCCCAAAAAGCGCCATAAACCCCTCCTCCTTCCAGTGACCTCTGTGACGCCAATACGGGGGCCTTTCAATCTCATAAACACCACACCTACACCAAACCCGTCAGCTCCACTTTCCCCATGCCCCTCCCAAAGGAAAAAAAAACATATAGACATACCTTCCATAGACTCTCCTCTTTTTTCTTCTCTCTTCAAACAGGCATCCTATGCCTCTTACTCAACCTCCTCCTCGCGCGACTCTCCTTGCGCCCCGCCAACTGCTCACGCGGCAAGTCGGCAAACTCGCTCCCCAGCCCAACAACCGCCTCGCTCTCAGCCACACTCGCCCCGTCCCTCAACGCGCGCCGCTCCTCCTGCCCCGTCTCGCCTTCTCCCTCGTAAAAAACCCCGCCTAACCGCCAGTTGGACGCTGAGGACTCGTACAGTGCATTTGTTGATGGCCGCACGAGTACGCGGCGGGAGCGCTGGAGGTGGCTTACGTCTGTGTGGGGAGGGGCGTCGCGCCGGAAGAGGTGGTCTGGGAAGATGCGTTTGAGGAAGCGGGGCATCTTTTTTTTTCCTTCAGGGATATATGGGTAGGCGTATGTATAGGTGAATATATATATGTGGGTGTGTTATTTGTTGTTGTGTTATTGTACGCCGTTGCGCGGGGGGCGGGTGGTAGTGGTGGTGGGGAAAGTAATGCAGGTAAAAGATTGGTTCGGGTGCGGGTGCGGCGGTGCGCAATGAACGGTAGTTCCGCAAGATGGAGTTTGTACGTATGTGTGTATGTAGGTAGTAAACGTACGTCGTACGTAAAACGTAGCTGCAGGAATATACAGAAAAAGGCCAAAAGAGGTCTATGCAGGGACTAGTCTTTTTCAGCCCTTTTCGATATGTCTTTGTTTTGTTTCGGGGGAGAGCAAAGGGCAAGCTTATCTAGGGTCTCGTGCGAATTAATTGATTGGGGTGGCGAGGGGGAGGCGGGGGCATGCGGGCGGTGATGGTGGGGGGAAGCAGCGGACTATGCGAAACGGTAGGGAAACAAGGAGGCTGATTGGCTGGTATAAATGGGGTTTCGCAATCTGATGTGCGGGTACGGCTGAAGAGTCCGTCTTTGTGGTGTCCCAATGTACGCGTCAATTCTGGATCTGGAATTTTAGCTGAGGGCGTTGAGGGCTCGCGCGGCAGCTAACGAAAAGGTGTGAGCCAGTCGTTGCTGTTTGGCCATGATGCGTGCATTCATTCATCACGCCCCGGATTGGACACTATCCGGTGAAGCCGTTGGTCTGCCAAGTGCATTGGTCGAATATCTAAATCTCAATACCCATTATCACCACATGACCCGTGTGAGCAGCTATGTACCCGTGACGCATCTGGAACATGCTCTCTTAACCTTGGACCGCCCCAGTGAGCAGCCCGGCTCCAGAACTTGATCTCCATCAATATCGCTCACCGCTGATACCAACTCCTAGTGCCCGAATCGCCATGTGTGTTCCAAAACACCAATGCACCGTCTCTATTCCCATCCATCTCCGCACCGTCATTATTCACAAGCTTGAAGATTGTTAAGCACAATGTCTCCCATCCATGACCTCCTTCTTGTACTTGCCATGCATGCCTCACATAAGAAACCCCCCCACCCTCGCAACCAGCCCCACCCATATATCCTCTTTCTCATTACTCACGCCCATTACGCACTCTCTCCATCGACTTGCAAAAAGCACAATCACGACAATGGACTTGTCGAATACGTACCGTTGTATCAATTGGCGCAACCGGCCCAGACTGCATCTCTTGAGTACCATCGTTCCCAACGTGCTGTGCCCATTTCAGAATCCCGCTCCACCGCATAATTTGATATTCCGTTTGTGGTTCATGGGTCCCGTCGCTGGACGGTTCATCACGAACAAGTGGTTCAGATGTCGCGACAATGGTAGTGTCGCCAGGCGAGACCACTACTACCGGAGATGATGGTGGTGAGTCTTGAGCTTCTGCCTCAATAGGTTTGACGAGGATAGCGGTCGAGATCTGCGGCGTCGCGATAGGCGTTGAAGCGGGACTCGGCGCCGAGTCTGCTTTGATGATGGCGGGTTCCTTAGTGACTCCTTGGGTGTATCGGTTGCTTGCAATGTGCGCCCATGTGGTACCCTGTGTAGCTGTACTAGACAGTTTGACTGGAGCCGGGTACAAAGGCGAGAAGTTTGTGGTGACTTCCTTTGGCGGAACTTCCTCGTCAGGCTGCTCGGCTTCGTATCCTTCCTCCTGCTCAACATCCCATGGTGTACTGTTGTTTCCGTGATCTCTGATATAGCGGATCGAACGTCGCTGCTCATACATTTCCACTTTGATGATGGCGCTGCCTAGACACCTCCCATCTGTCTCACGTTGGGCACGCGCTGCGTCGCCCGTGGTCCGGAAGCCAACGACAATTGTTGTGATACTGCTCCCTTTGTAGATGTTTTTGTAACTTACCGGGCGGTAGGGAGAGAACAACTCAGCAACCTGATCGTCGTCGACGTAGCTCGGGACGTTCTTAACGAAGATGAGGCGTTCATTTGACACTCTGGTACCAGGGAGTAAAGTCATGGCAGTAATTGAGTGGTTGAATTTGGTTTTGTAGCGGATTTGTGGGAGCAATATCCAGATGAACTAACTTTTATCTGAGTAGAGATATAGGCGTGAGTGAAAGTTGATCGGAGGCAGTCTTGGTCCCAAAAGTCTTTGTCTACCAAAGGCGGAGGTGAAGCGGAATTAATCACATGCAATCAGCGCTCACTCGCCCGCCAAGCATGAGGAAAAGGAAATTCCAATACAAACGTAATGTAATTTGCCTCATTGGTGCGTTTGCACTGACAGGAAGGTGCACTCACCAAGGGTAGTATGAGATCATTCAAGAGGCGCCAAGGTGAAGCCTTCCCAAGGTACGCTGTGAGAACACGTGCACCTGAGTCATTCACGATATATGAACATCACTCCAAGTAACTTGAGTCGTGAATCAAAGCGATCCTGCAGGATATGGCATCGACGCAATTGTGTGTGATGATGATACGTACGCTACGATGAGCTTAAAGCCGTTAGTTACACCTTCACCTTGGTGCTATGTGATATCACCCTTCACTCACAGGCAACATTTGCCAGTACTAGGGCAATCTCCAATCTTGGTCGTCAAATCAGAAACGAGTTACAGATTCCCTGAGCGTCTTGGAAACTTACTGGTAGGTTGGTATATGAACAGGGATAGGGCGAGCCCACGCATGAGATAAAATCAATTTATGTAATCAAACATTATACATTGACACCATCAAGAAATCATTATATTTTTGTTCCAAATGATGAGACATCTAGACAATGACCTTGTGTGGTGCCTCCTTCTCTTCAGGCTCGTCGAAGATGTTGACGGGCCATCTGGGCTTATTGGCAATATAAGGAATGTTGAATCGTCTTCGCTCCTTCTTTCCAATCTCCTCGACCTTCTGGAAATCCTCCTCGGACAGTTCAACCTCCTTGAAGTTCTCTTGGATGCGCGAGGCGGTAACCGACTTGGGAATGACAGAGTGACCGCCCACCTGAGCCCAGGCGAGAATAACTTGTGCAGGGGTAGCGCCAATTCGGCTGGCAACTTCCTTGATGGTATCGTGCTGAACGAGAAGAGGAACACCGAGCATGTTGTTACCGAATGCCTGGAACTTGGGTTAGTGCTGTTCGAATGATAAGCTCGAGGGAAAACATTTCTTACCGAGTACTCGGTGACATGAATGTTCTTCTCCTTGCAGTACTGGATGAGTTCTGGCTGGAGGAGACGTGGGTGGCGCTCGATCTGGTTGGCAGCGGGAGTTACACCAGTACCGTCAATCAAAGCCTGGATGTGCTCCTTGGTGTGGTTGGAGACACCGACCGCGCGGGCCTTCTCCTTAGGCAGCTGTGTCATAGCCTTCCATGTGTCGACAATTGAAACTTCATCCAACATCTTGACGTCCTCGCCCTCCAGGGGGAAGAGGTTGCTGTGCACATCTGACCGCTCGTCAAAGGCAACGGGGAAGTGGACAAGGTAGAGGTCAAGGTAGTCAAGACCAAGCTCAGCCAGGCAGTCGTCTAGAGCTGCAGGTACATCCTGAGGACGGTGCTGAGAGTTCCAGAGCTTCGATGTGATGAAGACATCCTCGCGCTTGAGGCCAGGGACCTCGCCACCAAAAGCCTTCTTGAGGGCTTGTGCAATCTCCTTTTGGTTGCCATAGACCTTGGCGAGATCCAGATGACGGTAGCCAACCTTGAGGGCCTCAAGAACGGCAGCGCCAACCTGACCGGGCTCAGCTTGCCACGTACCAAAGCCCAATTGCCTGGGCAAAACAGTAATCAGTAAACGTCATCATATGTACGTAGTGTGTTATTGAGGTACTCACGGGATGGTAGCGCCAGTGTTGAGAGTAACCTTCCTTCCGAGAGACATATTTGCAATCAATGTGAATTGGGTATCTTGGGGAAAAAGTAAAGGAATCTGTGACGACCTTAAGTGCGGGTGTTGGGAGCTATTAAAGGGTAGTCTGGGGAAAAAGTTGTCGGAGGTGGGGTGGAGGGGTCGGAGACGTCACCGAGCCTCAGGTCGGCGGCATATCCAAGTCTAGCAGTCTCTCCGCACGTAGGCTTTCTCCGAGATCCACTCAAGCTTGCATCATGTGGTGCTGAGACTGCGTGGCATGGCTAGATGCTGGATCTGAGAAGGCACAATCTCTTTGCGGGCCATGTGGCTAGCGAGATGCGTTCCTGAGATTGGTGGAACAATGGCGGCCAACACGAAACCTCATGGCCATTCCCAGCAATTTCGTCAAAACACCAGTTGCCCTCGCCAGCCACACCGGATAAATTTGACGGGAACCTAATCGAATTGGAGCTGGGATACATTATTTGATGGAACAGGCCTCCATCACAGTTCTACGATCTTGGGAGCTGCATGTGATATGTATTACATAAGCAGCTGATTCTTCTGTCCTTTTCACGTAAGCTACAGCGATGCTATTATTTGGGAGTACAACTACAGTCTACGTAGTAGAATACAACAGCCAGCTCATTCAAAGCTCATACAAGTCATCGTTGTTGTTGTTGTTGTTGTTGTCACGATTAGAGCCAAGGTTGGGGGAGCCACCTCGTACCAGCAAACTAAACGACTCCATTTCTTCTATGCTTGGAAAAGAATGAAGACCTGCGCGAGTCGTTGTCGACATGGTCCTGGTATAAGACGAAAGATTTGGGTCGACAACCGTCCCAAATGCAGATGCAACAGCAGCAGACACAGATGTAGCTGGAAATTGTGGAGCTGGTGCTGAAGGATCTGCTGCATCAGACACTGTCAGTGAGGGTGCTCTGTCCCTCTGCTCATGATCATCTCGAACCCCGCCCAAGCACAACCAAAATCCTTCGCCAAAACCCATCCATAACTCCAGAAGACGCAGATAAGTAAGTTTACATTTCTTGCTGACTAGATCCTTGATCCTAGTCCCAGTTCGACCGATAGCACGGTACGAGACAGACTCCTAGTCATCGCTGTCGTATTCTTCGTCGTCGGCCAGTAATGCAGGGTACTGCCGACGTCGGAGGTCTTGCTCGAGGCCGCCTTCAGATTCGGGATCGACGTAGCCCTTGCCTCCTACAAGTGAAAGAAGGACGGGAAGTAGAACAAGAGCGTGAGTAGAAGCCCAAAGTACGAGAGCGACCCATACGCGGAAGTAGTAGATTTCGAAGATCTAGCAAATCATGTCAGTTCGCGCGCACAGAATACTGATATAAGAGAGACAAAACGAATAGCACATACCTTGCTCCTAGTGAAAGCCAACACTCCTACTCCTAGAATCTTCGTGATGGTAATTCCGCTGACCACACTGCTCGCTACATTGACCATGGCCGTCCAAGCACGGGCATCACGGCCCCGGAAACGGTGTCTGGGTGCCCGCTCCATAGTTGCACGACTTGGGAAGGTAAATGCTCGAGCGATATGTGCCGTGAATTCGACACTGATACCCACACAAATGATGAGGTTGACCAGTGAGACGGCATTGAGCGAAACACCAAGAACAGCCATAGACCCAATAATGGCGGAGACCGTCATACCAACTACCAGTGTCACAACCAGTGCGGTGACGATGGAGCCAAGCATGATGGTTGTGATGAGAAGCACTGCCGCTAGAGCAGATCCAATCAGAGCACCAGCCAGGCGAACAATAGATACGTACTGGTCGAAGAATATGTAAAACTTCGAGTATGGGAAAACCTCGGCTTCGACGTCCTTTGATATCTCTTTGGAGATGCGGCGCGCTGCCGTGTATGCAGAAATGAAGTCTTTCTGGGAGCGCAGAGGGGTATGTGAAGTACGGAAATGGGAAGCGGGGATAGTCAAATGCTTGGAGTCAATGACCAGAGCATCCGAGTATGCGGCTTTTCCGCCGATAGGACAGTCTTCAGTGGTTGGAGCCTCGATCCACTTTTCCAAGTACTTGATAAACTCCTCGCCTTCAGGCATACCATAAAGAGTCATATTCCAGGGTGGCTGGCGACCTTGGAAACAGGGCTTGCCCTTCTCCACACAGCACTTTTCGTTCTCGGGATTCAACCACAGGAAGAAATCATCAAGCCAGTTCGCGGCAGAGGCTGAAAGATACGAAACTTCGGGGCGCTTGCGCTCTGCTTCGATGATGTTTGCCAGACTGTTTCTGTCGCAAGCAGAGAATCGTCCACAAAGCTCTTTTTGCGGCTTGCGCTCAGTAACGTTGAGCTCCCTTGTGACAAAATAAACCGGAGGACCGACATCAAAGTAGTCGTACAAGTCATTGAAGTATGGGATTAGGTAAGAATCGCTCGGAATAGCGATACGTTGATCCAGACCAAGCTCAACTTGGGGGAACAGAGCAAGACCTGCTGTGAAGATTCCGAAAAATAGCGCGAGAATGCCAATTTTGGTCTTCTTACCTAGAATTGCTGGAGCATATGTCTTGCGGATGAAGCGTTGTAGTGCACCTTCCTCTCCCACTGCAAAACCCATACCGACTGGATCAGCGCGCTTAACGCGGACGCAAGGGAAGCAATCCGCACGATTCGATTCGACACGTTCTTGGTTAAGGGAAAGTACGGCAATGAACATGGTAACCTGGAGAATGGCGTTGATAAAGACAGCTCCTGCGGCATATGCAGCAAAGTTGCGAACAGCAGGCATACCGACAGCACATCCTAGAGCGAACGCGGTTGTCTCAGTAAGAGCGGAAAGTAAAATTGAGGGGCCCATGCGTCCGAGAGCTCGAGAAACCCGCTCCGGAACGGTTCCTTCAGGGTGGCTGATATTAATGCGCTCGAATTCGTGCACAATAAGGAAGATGTTGTCCACACCAACGGCCAAGACCAGGAACGGAATCACCTCTGCTATGATCAAGGTGACCTTGATGCCAGCTGCTGAGAAGAGACCAACCGAGGCAGAAACTGACATGAGTACGATCAGAATACCCACTATGCCCAGCATGAACTTGGACTGTACTAGGGCGTTGGCGGGGTTACGGAGGATAGACTGGACAGTGAGTGTGGTTGAGCCGAGCGCCAATGATGCGTACAAAAACATGATGATGTAGCTGATCACCACGATCTTAGCGTCTGTGTTGGTGCTCTTGTTGAGCTCTTGCTCAAGACTGACTTCAGTATTGAAGCTTAGTCGAAGGCCTCTCTTAGCGGCCTCATCGGACACGAATTTGAGATAATTCTTCATTTCGTTCTCAAAGTCCATTGCACGTTGCTCTTCCGGAGTGCCCTTGGGATGATTCTGTACAACCCAAGTCACCACAAGTGCCTTGGCGTCAAGTACGCTCTCTTCAACACCGCCGAAGAGGAGATGTGAATCGAGTGGCTGCTGGAAAGTGGGGAGACACTGAGATGGGTTGTCGACGCACTGTAGCAGGTCATCCTTCCAACTGCTAGGTACGACGTTGGCGAAATCACCTTGGAAGTAACCGGTAACGGACTGAACAACACAATCATCCCCTACTGGCTTGAAGCAAATCTGATCCAGAGTAACACCATGCTCGGCAGACTTGAGACGCTGAATCTGGTTCTCAACACCGAACCACCAGTCAAGTGTTTCATAGCTGAGAACGGGACCAGGACTGTCGAGTGTGTCGTTGACGAGGAAGGCTTGCTCAGCGCGAAAGAAGGGCCCAAACTTCTCGTCGAAAAAGGCCTTCTCCTGAGCAGCAGCGGAATCTGGTGAGACCCACAAATTTACAGGATCGGTTTCGATCTTGAACTGCAGCCAGCCCAAGCTCATGAGAGCTACTACTATGACGCTGGTGATGATAGTGATGGCTGGGAAACGAGCGCAAATGTATCCAAGACGGCTGAACATGCGATCGCACCAGGTGTTGACAAAGTAGTGCTTGGTGGGGCGATCTAGCATGCCAACATTGTGTACTATATCGCCTTCGTCCTCATCGTCGCTGGGGCTCGTGTCTTGCAAAAGACGCATTCGTTCAGTCTTATGTCTCGAATGTTTCTGATATGCGACGTGGCCAGCCACGGCGATACATAAGAGTCCAATGAAGCAGGAATAGATGATGATGACAGCAAAAGATAGGCAGGGAAGCAGGCCGACGTGGCATTGCTCTCCTTCTTGGACAGCTGGAAGCTCAGTGCAAGATGTGCCACAGTCCAGGCAGGCACAACGGTACTTCTCATCCTCAGTATCACAGGGATAGGCGCGCTTGCTCATCGCGGTCATGCCAGGAAAAAGTTCTTGAGATGGTCGTGGGAAGTTAATCTGGAAAGGCGAGCCCAGGAACTTCTTGTCACCCAGAAATTTCAGAAACTGGGTAAAGTTCTTTGCGCCACCACCGATGAAGTCCATAGCCTTGCCATTTGTCGCACCAAACTTGACGTCCTTGCAGCTGTCGTAGAAGGTTGACGCGTACTTGTCCGCGATTAAGTTGTCCAATTCCGTTACTAAGTATTTGTCACTCTTGGGCTCCGTTCCGGTGATATTGACGAAGGTCGACTGGTCAGGGGAACATGTAAATGTGCAGAACAGGTTGTAGAAGTTTTCCTTGCAGGCAGGGCAAGCGTTGATGATGGGGGTAGCGCGGTCGAGGTTCGTTTTGAGGGCGTCAAGCTGATCTTCGTCGCAGCAAATGTCTGAATCAGACCACTGCGTGCCACAAATGTCTACAAGTTTCTTGCGTACGTCGTCGTCGGGTGTTTTCGCTAGACCGTTGTCTGGGCAAGGCAGTTCCGAGCCAAAGAAGCCCTGCTTTCCGCATTGCCCTCTCATTGCGCATCTTCCTTTCTCATGTCTTGTTGTGAGGTCTGGGCCAGCGAGAGCAGATCCAGCAAGGATGGAAAGTAGGCCGACTGTCATCGCCTTCCATCCTGGTGTATGTCGTTGCCTCATGATGACGCTTCGCGCCTGTGCGCCTCCTCGGTCCAGATGGACAAAGTACTTCGAGGACGACAGCACGGCTAAATCTCGTAATATGTGCGCAAGCTCGGTGAAACAAGTGCAAGCTGGTGATGGGTTTGGTCGTGTATGGGTAAGGCGCGCTGGTGAGGCAGATGTAGCTCTGTGAAGCTCCGCGGCTCCGGCAAGATGCGAGCGGCGGTGATGCGGAGCTCTGTCGACCTAGCGAGCGGATAGTCAGATGATAACAAGTTGATTCAATACTAAAAACGCAGCAGACGCTGGAGAAGAAGATAGTGGGCCGGTTGTTGTTGGGGAGGGGGAAGAAATGATGGTACGCTGAGGCATGAGCGCGAAGCTAAACACTGTCTGGGGTGCGTCATGAACGTCACTGCCCCAGGCGCTTGGCTGGAACGCGCAACGCCGCCCAGGAACAAGAGTGATCCGCAATCGTGATCATGCGCGCCAGCCACCACCCACGCTAAACCCGTCGTCATGTGACATATCGCTTTGCTTTGCTTTTCTGGCCTTGCATTCACATTGCGCACTGTTTGGACACTGGCGTAAAAGAAAGCACTTAATCAATCTAGGATAAATTCATACTACATAGCGTCATGTTCTATCGTGTCATGGCCCCGAATGCCGTTCCATGTCCAATTCATCAGTGGTGTCTTTCGACGGGTATCCCTTCTCCTCTTTCAACACGAAACTTTTTACTTGCGCAGGTACTGCACGAGCTCAACAAGCTGCGAGCGTGTCTCATCCTCCAGCTGCTCCTCAGGAGGGCTAAGTACCTTCTCAAAGATGGGCATTAACTGCGGAGTGAGCTGCTGGACAGTGGGCTCGTTTTGCTGGTACAGCTTGACGATCATGCCGAATACTGGCTTGTTCTCCTCGTAATCCTCGCGAAGAGGGAGGAGCTGCACCAACCGAGGAAGAACCTCCGCAATGGGCAGCTTGCCGGGGTGCTTGCTGATAAAACGGCTAACACAGCCTGCTGTGTTGTCGAGCAGACGGGCCTGATCCTGTGCACCGAGCAGAGGCTCAAGTTTGGAGAAAATGCTAGACAACGACTTGAGAATCTCGTCATCGTTGGTCGTCATCTCGCACAACAGACCCATGCCATAGACGGCGTTGGACTTGGTCTCGGGATCCTCATCCGACAAACGGTGGAGAAGCAGCTTGAGTAGGCCTGTGGTGTAGGGTGTGCAGGCAGCACCCATGTTACCAACGCACTCAGCAATAGTGCCAACAGCAGCGCTTCGCTCCGTCGAATCTTGACTGCTGGCATACTTGACAATGGGCTTCTCAAACATCTTCCAAAGCTCGGCAAACTGCGATCCAAGGGCAACGGACAAGCACGTTACAGCCTCCAACGCTGTCTCGATGACGAGCCAGTCGTACTCTGAGGATTCGTCAAGGATGTCCTCATCAGCATCGTCACCGAGATCTTGCTGGCAAGGATGACGTTTGGTGATAACAGCAAGGAGGTGCTGGCACATGTCAGGTACCACTGTGCCATTTTCGGTGAGCAACACTGCAGGTCCGCACAGCTTGAGGGTTGCTGCGACGTCACGGTTGATGTCGGTGACAGTGCCACTGGGTTGAGTTAGCGATATTCTCAAAAATAGACTAAAAAAACCAATCGATGTAAAAGTTGCTCAGAAGTAGAATCGCTTTCACCTCAAGTGCACTTTGTGCATCGGAGTGAGCTGGGATTAACGAATAGTGTGTCATCTTTGCAAAAAAAAAAGATGTGAGGAAATGGAGATTACATACCGATCCATTTCATCTTGCCAGACAGTCATGGTTGCAGTCATAACGAGGTTAGCCAGCTTGCGGAGCTCCTCTGGTGGTTCGACAGCGAGAGGAAGACCAGGCTTCCACTTTGCCATACCATCGCCCTCGGCCATACCAAAGAGGCAGGCGTATGTTCGCCACAGAGTACCAAGCGCAGCCTTGCGGATACCCTCATACGGGTGGTCTACAAGCTCAAGCAGCTTGGTGACAGTGGCCTCCATGTAGGGAATGTATTCACGGCGAGTGTGAGTAATAATGTCACCATAAACTTCAGCAGCAATCTCCTTTTCCATGGCAACGGCGCTGATGCCCTCAAGGTCATCCCAGTCATCATCGGAATCGTCGTCATCCATTGCAGCCTCGTTAAGATCGCTACCATCATCACTGGGTGCAGCAACCTTGATCTTGCGGCCTTGAATGACAACTTCAGATCCGGCCAAGTCGGCAGCCTCCTCCCCAAGCTCGACATCGAGACCAGTTTCTTCCTGGTCAAGGCAGTCCTGGAGTCCCTTGACAGCGCCTGGGAGGTATTTGGCGAATTGTTCTTCGTAGACCTTGGCCATGGTACTCCAGAGGATGTAGCTGGTCTCTCTGAGGCGGGGGTGGTCGAGATGCAGGGCCTCTTCGGAAGCCTCCATCAGTGGCAGGACAAAAGGCTCGAATGGCCCTGGGCCAACAGCAGAGGCCATTTTGCCCATCGAATCGCAGGTGACGCCACGAAGGTCAAGTTCGTCTTGGCTGTTCTTGATTCTTACGTATGGGGACAGTTCATTCATGGTCTGTTCGAAGAAGGGAATGAACGCCTTCTCAGCGGCAGAGGCGATGGAGCCAACGGCACCAATGGCAGCACTCTTGACCTTGAGGTCCTCGTGATGGAAGAGCTTGCTGAAACGAGGTACCAATTCAGGCACGTATGTAGCAGCATCCTCAGGCTCCAGGCCCTCGATGAGGGAGTCAATAGCGTGACAGCTACCGCGGATAATTGAGAGGCTGCGGTCATCTTCTGTGCCCTGCAAGTTGCTAGCGGCAAGATCAAAATTCTTGATCATGGCGGGAATGAGGCGGGCATGCTCTTTGCCAACATCCTCGGCAAGGTCGTCAGCCAAGCGCGCAACACCATTGAGAGCAGCAGCCCGGACCTTGAGCTCAGGGTCTTCAAGCAAGTGAAGGACCATGGGCAAGATCTCGTGAAGCTGAGTGGCAATGAAGTCAGGTGCGCCCTCGACACACATGCCCAGAGCCAGAATACCAGCTTGGCGGTAGTCAGGGTTCTGCGATTGGAAGTATTGGCCGAGGTTCTTGAGCAGAGGAATGACTACTTGGCTTGGAGGCAGGCTGGAAGCGAGGATGTCGAGAAGGCCAAGAGCCGAACGGGCAGGAGTTACGTCTTCGTCCTCACTTGACAGATCGCCCAGCTCGGTGACGATGTGCAGAGCCTTGAGGGTCAGCTCTTCTCCAATCCTGAGACCCTGGATCTTGAGCCTCCTGTAACGGACGCATTGCATGAGGAAGGCAAGAGCCTGGGAGCGGTAGTCATCCTCGACATTTGTGCTAGAGGCAAGTTCCAGCATGAATTTGACAAGGTCTCCAAAGTGCTTTGCCAATAGCGCAGACTCGCAGCCGAGAAGGGTCTGGAAGACCTCGAATGCCTGCATAGCACGGTCCTCATCACCCTCGTCGACGGTAGCCTTGAGAACGTTGACCATGGCGGGAATGGATGCCTGGAATAGAGCAAGTGCCTTGGGGTCCTCATCGGGCTCCAAGAGCATGGCCAGGCGGCTGAGACCAAGCATGGTGTTGATCCTGACCTCGACACTCTCTGGGTCTTGGATAGTGGAACTGAACAACTTGTACAGATCGGCAGGCTTAGCAGGGAAGGAATCACCCACCGACTCGAGAGTTGTGTAGATGATGTAGGTGCCAACCTCACGTTGTCGGACGTTGGCGCTGGTAGCAGCTTGCTGGAGGTATCCGGGGAGGTCAGCCCACTCGCCATCCTCGAAGTCTATGGCTGCGATAGCAGCGATGACGCGGGCAGCAGAGTGGCGGGTAAGGGCGACATCTTCGTTGAGTGTGAACTGAAAGATCTGGTTGCGAAGGGAAGCCTTTTGGTCAGCGGGGAGGTTTGCCCAGTGCTTTGTCACCAGCTTCCTCGCCTCGACAGCAGCCAATTGGCGCAGCGCAGGCTTGGGATGCGCGCAGAGAATTTGAAGCAGTGCATTGAGAGAGGCAGGAGAGCTGTAGTAGCTCTTGTTCAGGGTGGAAGTAGCGGCCTTGACACGCTCGGTGTTGGCTGGAAAATTGTCAGTTGAGAGCCATGGGCAGGCGGGGCAAGGCTACTTACGCTCCAGGAGGCCCTCGAGGAGCTGGACGAACTGTTGCTCATCCATGGCGGCGCTCTCACAGTGTAAGTATGCAGAAAGCTTGCCTAGGGTGGTCTCTCGCAGAACAGCGCAGACCAATATTGACAGTTGTGGAGGAAGAGCGCTGGGCCGCACATTCTTTGAGGTGGGGATTGGAACTTTTTTTACGCTAGTCTCAGGGTCCAGCAAATTAGGTAAGCCATGCTGGCAGCCAATGACGGCAGTGCGCGGCCGGAGGAGCTATGGCTTCCACCGGAGGCTGCTTGGGTGCAGTATGCAGCTCAAGTGCGCGCGCAGAGAGCATAATTGGTTGCGTGTTCCATTGTGCAGCACAAAGGCCTGATTTTGCTGGATGAAGCTTTGACCGGCCACTCGAGCAAATTTCAGAAGAGACAGAATGTTCAGCTCTGGGGCTCAGAGCGTAGGCGCCTCAGCTGCAGCAACATCAATGCTGCATCCTGAATGGCGTATATTGTGGAAAAAGGTGAATTGCCGGTTCGGTGGCGCTGATATGGGGAGTTCTGGGGCTCAATCGGGAGAGGGGGTGGAAATGGCTGGCTGCCATGCCGTAGCCGTGACGAGCAGCATGGTGTAATGAGGCGGCGCTCAATGAACACGAGACAGGCAGACTGAGGCTATGATGCGTCAATGGCCACGGGATTGCAAAGAGCAGAAAAGGAGGCAAAGATAGACATGGAGAATGCACGCAGAGCTGATGCGAAAGAGAAGGTCGAAGGCACAGGGAGGTCCAGCCAGGTGCAGGACAAGGTGATAGGACGCGCTAGGCCGGGGTCTGTGCGGCGGAAAGCTGTTAGCAAAAACAGAAGGAGCAACAGCGGCCAGCACAAACTCGCCGCTGCCATCACAAACGAGGAGGCCTTCTCTACTATTCTTCTCTCTTAGTCCCTACATTGTAATTCCCTACCCCGCCCCGCCCGCGCCCTTCCTCCATCACCACGTCTGCAGACCTCACTCGGACACGTTACCTGACCCCTCCGCCTCCGACTCCATGGCTTCAGTACGTCAGGCACTCCCGCGCTGATACCGCCACATGTGACATCGATGCTGACTTCGTCCAGCAAGCTCCCAATCAGCCGCGCCCCTACCCAGGCAATTACCTTCCCAACGGCGGCGCTCCTGGTGTCCCCTCGGGCCCAGCGCCTGGAGCTGTCCCGCTGCTTCCCAACCAAGGCCGCGTGATCCAGCAAGGAAGCGTACGAGTTCTCTGCATTGCCGACGTCCGAGGTGAGCATAACCTTAGTCTTGGGTGCAATGGCATACGCTGACGTTGTAAAGGAAACCTGCAATCGCTGAACCAGCTCGCCGCCGATGCCCGCGCAAACTACATCATCCACACTGGCGATTTCGGCTTCTACGATGACCGCTCGCTGGATCGCATTGCCGAAAAGTAGGTGCCCGCACATATTCAATTAACCTCTTCCAGAACTAACTTGCCCAGGACTCTCAAGCACGTAGCCCAGTACTCGCCGCTCCTATCAGACACGGTCAAGCGCTCCATTGCCTCGGCACCGCCCCAGCCTCCCATCAAGGAGCGCTTCGCAAGAGAACATCTGCCCCTCTCAGAATTGCCCCTCTTCTTAAACAAGACCTTTACACTAAACGTGCCTGTGTACACTGTGTGGGGAGCATGCGAGGATGTCCAAGTCCTTGAGAAGCTGCGGTCGGGCGAGTACAAGGTGGACAACCTGCACATCATCGATGAGGCGCATTCAAGGCTACTTGACGTCGGTGGTGTCAAGCTGCGACTACTCGGTCTTGGCGGTGCCGTCGTCATGCACAAACTCTTCGATAATGGTGAAGGCAGGACTACCATTGCAGGTGGACAGGGCACAATGTGGACCACACTGCTGCAAATGGGTGAACTCGTCGACACTGCGAACCGCGTATACGACCCGACCGAGACCCGCATATTCGTCACCCATGCTTCCCCCGCGCGTGAAGGTCTGCTCAACCAGCTCTCCGTCACATTGAAAGCCGACTTCTCCATCTCTGCTGGTCTGCATTTCCGCTACGGCAGCTCCTACAACGAGTTTAGCGTCAACCCAACCCTTGACCACTACCGCGGAAAGCTCGCCGCCTCCAAGGCTTCATTCAATGATGTTTGGGATACAGTCAAGACTGAAGTCGAGCCTGCTGTCGCCGATAGCGAGTCCCAGCAGCGCCTCCTCGCTCTGGCACTTGAAATAGTGAACAAGATGCCTACAGTAGCCAACGGCGGCAATCCTTTCGGCGGTCCTGCCCCAGGCCCCCAAAGCGGCGTTATCGACGAGAGCGCATTCAAGAACATGTGGAACTTCAACCTCGCGGATGCTGCCTATGGATGGCTTGTCTTGGATATCGACAATGGCAGAATTGGTACTGAGATGAGGGCTCAGGGTTTCAACTTTGCCCATCGAGGTGGCAAGGTCGCGCCAGGCCAGACTCAGCCTGCGGCCGCCAACACTTCGAGTGGCCCTCCAGCTGCTGTAAACCCAAGCCCCTCTGCTCAGCCATCTCCTGTTCCTGGACGTCAAGGCGGCCCCCCCACGAGCGCCCCTCAGCAGCCCCGCCCAGCGGTCGCCACACCACCTGTTCCTCAGCAGAAGCCCAACAGCGGCACTCAGCCCGTACGTGCTGCTACCCCAAAGGAGCCCATCAAAGCCGCCACCCCACAACCTCCAGCCAACAACGGAGCCTCCAACGCTGGAGCCGAGAAGTCGGCTCCTAGCGAAGCTAAGCCCAATGGCACCTCGGTCCCGGAGAAAGCCGCATCGCCAGCACCCAGAGAACCCGTCGAGCGAAAAGAGAGCAAGGGACTGTTCATTGCTGGTGTCAAAGACGAAGAGGAAGCTAAGAGCTTGCTCGCGGAGGAAGATCGGTCAAAGATCGAGAAGATCGAAAAGATTAAGCATTTCTTTGTCGCTCACTTCCCCACATCGCAAGATATGCATGGCGCTCTTCGCCGTGTTGCGGACGATGTCAGGAATGCTAGGGGAGGACCAGAGAACAAGACGGTCAAGATCTACAACGAACGTGGTCCGGGAAGCAATCAACCCAGGTACGGCGCTGGCAACTGGCAGGCCAGCAACCGAGGCGGCGTTCAAGGCGGGGGCTACCGAAGTGGAGGTGCCTCTGATAGTGAAGGTGGTCGCGGTGGCCGTGGCGGCCGTGGCGGCTCTTCTCGGGGTGGACGAGGTGGGGAGCGAGGCGCTCGTGGCGGTCGAGGAGGAAGGGGTTCTTTCAGGGGCGGTGCAGGTGAAGGTGCGGCAGCATCCACCGGAGGCGAGTCATAAGACTCTTCTTCTTTCTCGGCGGCCGCATCTCTATCTTCTCACCGACTCTGATACCCCCACTTGTTTCTTTTTCGGTTTCGTGTTAACGGCTTTTTTAACGACGGGTATGATGCGACGTTGAAACCCTCTTTCTCTCTCTCACACACACACCCTCTTTCACTCCCACCTTGTCTTTTTTGTAAGCTCCACAACCAAAAAATTTCACGCCTTTTAGAGGGAACCAACTCGCTGTTTCTTGAGGTTTTCAAAGGCTGTTTATCATGGTCTTTATGGGAGTGATCTTGTTTCTCTTTCCCCTCGCTGCATCACATCCCCCTCTCTTTTTTTTGGGAAGCGGGGGCATGGAGTTGTATGTAGTAATGCTAGATACATTTCTCTCATTCTTTTCTCTCACCATAGTGGGATGGGTGTGGAGATTAAAAGCGATTGGGCTCTACTTATGCCTTACGTCCAAATACTTGCTTTTTTGGAACATTCACTGTGTTGGTGGTCCCATGAGAGTGAGGGTAGAAAAGTGAAGTCACGTACTGCAAGGATCGTCGACAGCGCTAGAATAGACACCAAAATCGTATCAAAAAAATGAATCCTGTATTCGATACCAGTAGCAATTATTCTACCTATGTTTTGATTCAACAAAACCAGTCGACTGTATCAATACCGGGTACATCTCACAAGATAACACATGCCTCAATTGCACTTTCAAAAGCGATACCGCACCACTCCAAGACTTCTGGAGGAATTTCACAGCAGTCGCATAGCGATAGTGCTCCATGAGGGTCTTGTACATGCTCATCGATCTGCATTGTTTGCGGCTCTCCATGCACTCTCGTCCTTGCTCTTGCAGGGACATTAGAATTTTGGACCTGCGGAAGATTCCCAATAGAATTTTGGACCGGCGGAAGATTCCCAACAGGTATATTTGAATGTGCGGGCATGCTGGGATTCATGACGATGCCGGGAGCAGGGTCCATATCTGGATCACGAGAATCATCTACGAGAGGTGGTGGCGCGGGAAGATGGTCACCGTCGCCTGGATAGGATGGACCGGGATCGCTTTCTGAAAGTAGCTCTTGAAAGTTGGATCTAGCAGTCAGGGAGGCTCTCGACTGATACTGGCTTACTCGAACAACGGGAGAAGGTTCCTCGCTAATGACTATGGGACGACGCCTGGGTTCGCCGTCCTCCCCGCCAGAAGATGGGCGGGGTTGTGATGGACGTAAATGCGAATAGTTTGGCGCTCGTTCCTGTGATGATTGGTTGATCAAGGTCTCGGAAGAAGACCCAGCAGAACCACGCGTATTTGAAGAGTTTGGCACTTGCAAGGTGGCTGTTGATGCGAAGCCACGTGACGCTACTTGTCCAAGACCCATTATCCTTGCAGCACGCAAATAATCACAAGGCGTAGTTGCATGGTCGCCTTGAAGCGATAGGAGCTGTAGCCATTCTTGAGGGGAAGGATATGTCGACCTTACTAAATGTAGCGAGCTGGGTCTAGATGAAGGTGGTACGTATTTCTTTTCAGAGGATTCTTCATCCTCCGAACCGGCTCCGCCTCGCAAGCGAATGTGTACTGAATCAGTGAGCGTCGAACCATCTAGTTCTGGGTCGATTTCATCCAAATATGATGTTGAAAGAGCTCTAGCTCTGCGACTAGACAATGTTCTGGCGATTTCGGAACTTGGTTTTGATGGCTGACCCAGAGTAACGACCCGCACTCCCCTTTGGCCACCTTCAGTCCTTACAGTGGTCCCCAGTAGTGGGTTTCGCGGTAGCATTCTACTTCCGATATGGTAAACGCTCCACTCATCAGCACTAGACGAGGTGGGGACACTCGGGTTATCTTGCATAGAGTTCGAACGCCTTGTCGAATTCTGTACATGGCCAACATGTGACTGCAGTTTTGTATTGACCAGCTCTAAGAAGGAATTTCCATCTATGGTTCCAATCAAACGTGGGTTTGGGGAGACGCTCTCGGCTGAAGCCCTGGATAGCAGTGACTGCTCATCTTGGTTATCTGAGACAAATTCATCAAATGACGAACACCATACCGCTGCGCATGCCCCAATAAATCGCGGAGTTGGAGAAAAGCCAGGTGGACCGTTGAGGGGTGTCGGTCTGAACTTCTCTGATAAAGGGGCTCGAGCGTGTACAATTGGACGCACTGAATTGCTTGTAACGTGTCTCAAATGATATCCGGTGTTGCATATTGGGTCATCCTCGACATCCGACCAACACGGAGGAGCATTAAATTCCTCGTCTGTCATGTAGGTCGGATGAGAAGTGTTTGGCCCCTGATTGGGTTTTGGGCTTTGAGCGCGCCTTCCTGTTGCCACTGCTGCTTGTGAGATTTGCACTGGTCCATGGTCATCTTGCCGTTGTAGACTTCTCGCATTTCCCTGTTTCACGTTTGGCTGATCCATTCCATTCGCTTCAGCCACATAGTGGTACTGGCTGGTCTGAGAACCAGTCTCTGGATCAGGTAGAGTGTGCCCTGATGGTAGTGGTGGTTCTCCAGCATGCTGACATGAGCAGCGTTTTGTTGTATCTGGAGACGCAAATTTGGAAGACATGGGTGATGACATGGATGAAGGCGTACGTGAAAAAGAGTTATTGAGAGCTGTACATAGCGACGAGGTAGTATGAAGTGGCATATTCGGTGTCGACATGGGAGATGAGCCTAGCACATGGAGGGATGATGCAGCGTTGGACGATTGACACGAAGCACTAAAGAGGTCAGAAGCTTTCTCACGATGAGCAAGAAAGACTGCAAGGAGATATACCTTGAAAAGTCTTCCTCACTGGCTCCTTCTAAACTGCCTCCGCCGCGCAGAGATGGGAATGGCTGTGTTGAAAGGGATTCGTAAGAACCGTCCCCGCTTTCGGACCACTCAGAACCTCGATCTGTTTTTTCCGACTCGTCAGAGAACAGTTTTATCGCCATTTGCCCTTTTCTTTCATCATCCTTGCCGTTGGTGTCAATGTCACATTCATAACCGGTATAAGGTCCCTTCTCTGATACAGCCGCTATAGCTGTGATATCCGATTTTTGGATTTCCACATCTACAACGTATACCCTTGGCATTTCCCTTGCGGGGGTCTCTTCTCGGAATAGCTCTTTCTATGAGCCTACTTCATCAGCCCAGCTACGGCCCTTTTCCATTGGCGATGGCAACCCAAAGGAGTCTTGCTTCTGAATAGTTGGACGTTCGGGTTCGGGTTCCGGATCCTTGGTTTCAACAGCTTTACCTTTTGCTGGAGGAAGCTCTGGGAAGTCCTCAGCAGAAGGCGGGGGATTGTCAAACTTCTTCTGCTCTGCTGATCTCGATCCCGCTCCGTCATAGTCGCCACGTCCACCTCGGCCTCCTCTTCCACTGCGGCCTCTGCCACGTCCCCGGCCAGAATGCGAAATAGGCTCATTGAAATCGTCGCCGTTGAATCCATTGTTAGCTGGCCGTGAGGGCGCAATACCGCCGTGAGCACCTCTGGCGGCACCTCTGCGCTTGTCGTCTCCAATGCCTGAAAACCCATCCTCTTTCTCCAAGTCCCACTCTCTGCCCTGTTGTGCTTTCAACTTGCGCTGTCGGTTCCTCTCGCGCTCACCCATCATCTGCTGACGACTCTGGCGTTCGGCCTTTTGCTTCTCAGCTAGTGCCTTCTTACGCTCTATGTCCTGCTGCTGCATGACTGCTTCGCGAGCCTCAAAGTTGCCCTTATCGGCTTCGGCGCGAGCGTGGGCGGTTTGGCGGGCTTCGTTCTTGATGCGCATGTTGGCAAGCTTAGCATTCAATTCGTCCTCGGTCAGGCGTGTGCGTGCGGCGCCACCAGTCAGTGTCCTGTCGCCGCGCACAGAGTGGGTTGGCTTTTCTTTTGGTTCTGTGGGAGCAGATGGAGGGGCGGATGAAGAGTCAGCATTTTCTGTAGCGACCTTGTCCGCAGTCACTGGCTCCGCCTCTTTTGGCGCCTCGACAGCCTTTTTGTCGTTTTGTTCGAGCCGAATATCAGTGTTATGGCCCCCACGGCCCCTCCCGCGGCCCCTTCCTCGTCCACGGCCGCGGCTTCCTCTGTCGTTGTTCCTGGGCTCTCTTGGGGCTTGCGGCGCCAAATGCGCCTGTGGTGCGACAGGTGGCTTTGGCTCTTCAGGGACAAACTCGGGGGCGGAAGGCTGCAGCTCTGGTGGGTTTGCCTCGACGACTGGCTCAGCAATAGGCGTGATATCATCGTCAAAGAATAGGTCGTCGGTGCTTGCGGTTTGAGCGAATGGGTCTATTGAGGGGTCGTCATAGGCGGGGTCGTAGGACGCGCTGGCAACCTGGCATTTTGTTAGGACAGTTTCGTGGGCAGGAACACAAAATTTCTATGGCAGAAAGGCAACGACAACAGTCGCATCAGATTCCACATACCGTTGCATGACTACTCTGGGCTAGTGCTGGTGCTGCTGGCTCAGACGGTGGTTGTGGCTTTGGCGGGGCCCTGTCGGCGACTGGCGCTGGAGTTTTGTCTGCCTCGTCGGGCTGTGTTGCCCACTTTGACTTGAGCATGGTGTGAGTGGAGTGTGTGTATGTGCTTGCAATAGCGAGTCGTGGTGCTAGAAAGAATATCTAGTAATAGCGAGTTGAATACGTCCTGTGCTAGCAATATCGTGAAGTGGACATGTGTGGTGGAGAGGAATGATCGCTACCTAACCCAAATTACATACTACGTATGCACTAGCACTTGCAGCAACCCTTGACCGGCCCAAGCTCCACAATTCATCCCCCGCACTTGCTCAGTCCCTGCGTGACCGCTTCCTTTCTCCACCGAACGTCACTGCTAGGGGATTCGGTCTTGTATCATATCGTCGGACACTTTCAGCTGCATATTACACCCCATGCTAACTAAGGAGACATGGCCGACACAATTCAGTGAAATTTTACCCTTTTTGTGCCTGTACTAAACCTCTCCCTCACACGTGACTGATGAGTATACATGAATGGAAACATGAATGGCTGCTGTTCTTGGCCAAAGAACAGATTCCAGTGCTCCTTACCTGTTCATCCGCAACTGTAGCTCATGTTCTCGAATTCAAATCCAGAAGGCTCCAGTCAGCAATATCGCCAGGCTTAGGGTAAGAACAATGACCCCAGTAACCTAAAGTCGCAGAAGTTAGTTGGGGCGTTGGAGGCGTATAGGCACGAGCATGAAATCCAACCGATGAAGAGACACTGGAGCGATGAGTGCTGGTAGGTGAAGAGTCTGGCGTCGACACGAGTGTAGTGGTGAGGCTTGAGGGACTGTTATTCAGACCAGTGCCCTCTGCATGCTTGCTCATTGTTTGGGTGTTGGTGACAAGTATTCCCAGCTTTGCAGGTATCTGTTGCTTGATCTTATGGCTGATGATGGCTGGATCCATTAAGTGTGGTAGCTGTGTAGACATAGAGTCGGGTGGTTGAGAACCAGTCGAACACTTGGTGGCGTCCTGCACTTTGGCAGTAACAGTCTCCTGAGCGGATGCGGCAGAAAGTATGTGTTCGAAGAAACGAGAGTCGCATCGGCGTGCTTGGGGAGCAGGATGTGAGAGGGCGACGTTCTTCTCAGTCTCAATCTGCTCCAATGGCGAAAGCTCTACCTCATGGGCCAACAATCTGTCTTGTGTGTTGGAGCCGCTTGTGTGGATGGTTGCCTGAAATCCATTATCGTCAAAATATACGGCATGTGGTGCTATGTAGTCGAATTCAGCGTCCTTGCCATGGAACTCGGTATCCATGTAAGCCTTGAAGTCGCACCGGATAAGCATCTGGCGCGGTGTTTCCATCTTCTCATACAACGCAAGCTCCAAGGCTTTGCGCAGCGCGACAATGTCCAGTGTGTCTTCCGGTGCTAGAGCAGCCTTATTGGATTCAGCATCACTCAGTTTAACCGCTTTAGCAGAAGCAGAGGACATCTTCTTCGCCTTGATCTGTTGAGCGGCGGCTGTGGCGCGCAGTGCGAGTTTCTTCTCTTTCTGTGCCCTCTTGTACTCCTTCAGCCTATTCATCTTCTTGCTCACGACATCGCTGCCGAAGTTCTTGGAGGCTGGCATTTTCGTAATAAGAAATGAGTTGTGACTACGAGGAGGATTATCAGTCTTGCTCATGATGGCAGATAAGCATGCTTTCACTTACGTATACAAGAGCCTGTAGTTTCACACAAAGTAAAATCGATAAGATGACAGAAAATAGATATTTTGCGTCACTCTGACGCGCTCTTTATCGTTTGCGGTGGGTTGAGAAAGTTGATGGATTGGGTACAGAGACGAAAGGAGTAGAGAAATATAGGTAATGGAAAGGTGGGACTATGGCAGACACTTGCTCACATCTGACGAACGTCATGCATACTGTATGTGAGTGAGTGAAGTGAAAGCCCAAATCACCGAATCGCTGGAGCAATTGTGGTAAGATGTGAAAGGCAAGGTCAATTAGATCTGGACTATTTGTAAATACGTGAGTGAAATTTACGTTCATTCCATCTGGTATTCTAACTACCCAGGACACGAAAAGAAATAACACAGACTCCAACCGTGTCCAATGCATTCGCTGATGAACAGCCATAGCTTCATAAAGCGATTCAGGATGCAAACCTCAATGACACTCTAGAAGCCCTACGTGGAGTCTATGACTTTCCTACGAATACTCCTCCTCATCAAAGTCATCAAATAACTAATTCTCGCATACTTGCTGTCACTCCTCTTCAGACTCTGTAGCTTCGAGCGCAACAGCCTTAAACTCCTGTACCCGCTGGTTTTTCTCGTCATACAGCTCAGCAGGCACCCATCCCTCAATTTCTATACCGATAGCATCTATGCAGGCCCTGAGCTGTTCATCTGCCTCCACTTTCGTATGATTCAGACGTAGGCATTCAGCCACCTCGTCTTCTGAGAAGGCAATGGGACAAGGATGACTAGTCTCGTCGCCCGTATTAGACTTAGAGGTCACGAATTCATCCCAATTTTTCGTCAAATAGACCAAGTCATTTTTAAGAGTAACGATATCGCCATCCCAGGGGTAAGCCACGTGCACAAAGAGTTTGCGCCTCAATATGCTAAATTTGGTGGCCAAGGCATCGTGATGCGTTGGGTTCAATGAGGCAGTCGCCGCGAAATAGAAGTATTGAATTTGGCGCCGACGTAAGAGCATTTCCTCCCGAGACTGAGTATTTTCGCTTAGCTCGTGGAAATTCGGTAGTAGTTCAGGGAATGTAAGTGATTCGGAGATGCTGTCGTCGTAGCCTTGAAGACTATCGGGGATACCGCATCGCAGGAAAAGTGTGAGTATTTTGCAGTGCTGCCAGTCAATGACGCCTGCCATTCTGAAATCATCAGATACAAAAATTTTATTCGGCTGAAGATCGGGATGTCTCTTTGTCGGGCGGACCAGGGTACTGCTGCCGTATGGGACGAGGCAAGGCACAGTTTGCAAGTATTTTTTCAGATTACTCCGTTGCTCAGAGGGGGATTTCACTTGGTAACGATGATTTCTCGGTGCATACGTTGAAAGGGGTGGAGCGGTCGACCAAATTTTGTTAGATATGCAATCTCTTTTTTGGACCCAGCTTCAAGAGCGGTTGTTGAATCTACGACTTTTGTGGATTCTGTCAACACTATAGACGTAGAAATATATTCTTTTGAGGAATATCAACAAGCCGATTGGTAATATAAAAAGAGAGGTCTGATACGTACAAGGTCCACGGTCAATCTGGATGTTGATCCTTTTTCCACGCCACAAGCTAAGTCTTGTGTCAGGACCAATGCAAAAGTGGCCATTTTATGGAGACTATCGCTGCGACGAATGGCAGAGCACGCTGATATGTTTAGTGCGCTTGGGGCCACCATTTTCACACGCTAGGGTATCCAATTACCGTTCACTGATTGGGAGGATAGTCGCGCCAAAACAGGTAGTGAAAACTAGCCGAATTACAGAGTGAGCAATAGTTCAAACGAATCATCTTGAGAAGCGGTCATGTGGACAACTTGTTCTACATGTCGGATCTACGTAGCGATTCTTCGAAACCTGGCCCGAAATTTACAATTTGTTCTGGGAGACATTACACATGCTATATCATCTTACACATATAGAATCATTGACCCTGCTACTACGTGGGATGCTCTCAGAGTTGCATAAGTTCTCGAAGAGAAAGAACGACACACAATGCATAATAACGCGTGATTGTGTCAGTTCAAGTGCTTCGAGCTGATATACGAAGATCTTGTAGCCGCTCCTGCTGCTGAGATCTAATCCAAGAATGGCATCATGCGTCAACAGAATTCTGCAATTACCGTAAATGCTGGTACCTACATACTGAACTCTATCTACATATTGAGCAGGAATATGCGGTCCACCAGGAGAATTCATTGCTTCAGACATTATCTTGTATACCCCCACGTACCAGATCCAACAAGACAGTGAGGTTACAGCACTGTTATTTGGGAACCAAAAAAAAATCAAATTTGACACGTTTAACAAGAAACAGGATAGTTAAATAGCATTTTAGAATAACCAACAATCAAAAAGCATGCATAGTTTTCCGAACAAACTATACAGGTTTTTATGCAAAGAACATGGCGTTCGGCTTAACTCAACACTAGAAAGGGGTATCAAATCGTGGCCAACAAACAGGAAAGCGACTTTTGCATGAAGCACTTTTGAAGAACCTCATGGGATCCAAAAATAGCCACAACAATGCTGAAGCTGGCCGCAACTCTACCTGCTACGGTAAGATAGGAATCCCAGTCACCCAGTCCTCCACCGGCTCGCCACTTTCCTGACGCAGTGTCAACATCATCGACCGAATCCATCTCGCCTTTGACACAATCTCTGCAACAGTGCGGCTACGTAGGTCGCCGCCACGTGGATGCGAAGACCTAGGATCACAATATGTTTTGAATATCTTCTCAAAGACACATGGACCTAGATAAATAATTAGCAAAGCACTCCAGTTTTCTGATACGGGATGTCAATGACTCACCCGCACAGTATTGCAAGCCCTCTAGCACAGCAATCTCTTCATCTTCAGTCCAATCCACCTCATCCGCAAGTTCCGAAACCTGGCTGTGCGGCGGAGTAGAACGGGGCTTGAAAATCGGCAATCGTTCGAAAACGATACCGTTCGCATCTCTCTCCACCAAGTCTTCAAATTTGGTGTGGAACAGCTTGCGTCGCCTGTATACATCGGGCTCGCATTGCATTCGCACAATATGAAGGTCTTGCCAGCGCTTCTTCCGCTCTTCCATTGCCTCGATGGCTCGAGTTTCTTCACTCTGTGCATCGCGGCGTTCTTGTATCCTCCTCTTGATTTTCTCGTATTGCTCACGACGTTCCTCTGCCTCCTCGAGTTGGCCCAGACGAACACTGAGTGATTGACTGGCCCGCCGCAGGGGCGCAATTAGTCGGGTTTGGACATCCTTGACTACTCTGTCACCCTTTTGACGCTGAGGTACAGTAACGTTCCAGTGGCTGATTGCGTCATTGAATGCTACGATCTCCTGCATCAACGGGGTTATTACACGTAAGCTTTCTAAAGACTCTGTTGCAGACTTGTGTGTTTTGACTAGCCAGTTGTACAAATCTCGAAGATATAGCGTGAGAGAGCGAAAGACAAAGCTGTATGCATCATTCTTGAATGCAAATTGATCTTCTTTTATGATTTCAGTACTATACTCTTTAGGTGTCTGTTGTAGCGTCTTTTGTATTTTCGTGGCATCTTGCGTGACAGCGTCGATTGAGTGAGTGCCATCCTGGAAGTTTGCACAATACTTTTCACACATGTGTAAGATCTTCCTGGCACGTTTAGTCTGGCATGTACCTTGACGCGCTTCGAGGTCAAGGAAACTAAAGACTGTAGCAATGTTCTCAGGCAGATCTTCAGGCACATTTGGGACCTCCTGCGATATCGCCGGGGAGGATTTGCTTTTGCGTGTTCTTTTCGGGAGTTGGCGGTTCAGTTCGGTAGAAGCACTACTGCCATCCTTTCGCGGTCTTCCCCGTTTACTAGCCGATGCTGGATTTGAGCTCTCTTCTTGCAAATCCCGCGCTTGATCTTTGGTCTTTCCGGAAGATGTAGGTTTGCCCATACGTTCACTTTTTCTCCTCAAAACCTTCGAAGGATGGTCCTCTTGATGAATCGGTGCTGACTTTCGTTTATCACGCGGCGTTGTTTCATAACCTTGTTGTTCGATACAAGTCGGACATCGTGGACCATTGGCGGTTACCCTGAAAGCAGCTCTGTAGCACTGCGTAGTAACATTGTCGGAAACTACCATCTCCTCACAACGAACAGTAGGAGGCTTACTGAGGTGAATTCCGCACATGAAACTGTCGTCGGTCTGACCAGTACCAGGACGTAAGCATTGCTTATAAGTTGTGCCCGTAATTTTATCGTACTTGTAGAAGACTGCTTTGCATCTGGGTTTCCCATTATCAAGGCTCTCCTCGATTTTTACATCTCCGGGTACATTGGCATGGGAATTTTCGTTACGCGAAGGGATCTCTTCTTTGGCGGTATCAACAACGACACTGTCGGTTCCCACAGGGGCAAATTGAGGTGGGGTAGAGCCCATGGGTGGATCGATAGAAGCCGGACTCTCTGTCGGCTCTGCGCGTGTCTTCTTCTTTACAATAGTAAGCGGCTTTTTGTTCACCCTCTCTGGTAGCACGTAGTTTCCCTTTTCTGGACTAAGCTCTATCTCGTACACATCACCTCGCACAGCGAGATTCGTTCTGGCACTCTTGGGGATCAAGTTCCTCCGCTTGAGCTTACCGGCGCGATTCTTCAACGCCATGCCAACTACAGGACTACTATGTCGGTGATCTATCCGCGCAGCATTGAGGAGATCTGCGCCAAGGGCTACGGCGGATGGAGGTGGTGGTGGTGCGTATGTGGTGAGAGATTCTGTGAGGAGCTGCTCGATGGCTGCTTGATCGTCTGCCGCAGGATGGAAGAAGTCGGAAGTATGGGAAGAGCTGGACTGTGAAGAAATTTCAGTCGCTGCTATTCCATTATCAGCTCATGCTCCATCAGACCCAAGATCTTCATTCCTGTGGACGCGCTCTTGGTACAGGGTCCTTGAGTTTCGCACCGACGACGCCTTCACACCCACGCGTGCGCGCCGAGCCTCAGAAAGAGCTTCTCACTTACCGCTCGCCCTTGGCGGCTGCTTCAGATGTGCCATTTTTGATTGCCTCAAACATGCACTTCATCCTCAAGTAGAAGCTTCATCTATCGATAGTGAGCATGCGGGGTTGTAGTTGTAGGAAGCTGGACAACGTGAAACGTGGGTCCGCCCCAAAACACGCTGTCACATGAGGAGCGCCCGCACCAGCCCGCACCCCCATACAACCCCTCATCCAAAAGTCCAGCCGCTATGGCATCCAACCCATCCCAGGCCCCAGTGCTAGAAACAATTGACCAAACTTCCGGACATGAGTTTGCGCTGCCCGCAAAACGCATCCACGATGGCGACGACGTCACTGCTTTCTTGGCAAGCAGAGCATACGCCGACATTATGACTTTCATCTTCCAGCTGAATACGGCCATGATACCACGGAAGATCAAGTCAAAAGAACACGGAGAGGAAGAATCCGCAAGAGAATGGACTTTGAATGACAAAGACGTGCCCTATACACCCATCGTACAGAACCTCGCCAAGCTTCTGGATGCCCTGACGGGCATCATTGACGAAGCACCACCAGACCCAGGACCCCGCCGCTTCGGAAACGTCAGCTTCAGAACCTGGTACGACATTGTTCGCGAGCGGGCTTCTGGGCTTCTGGATGAACATCTACCCAAGCACGTGCTGGATTTCAAGTCAACGTCAGACGTTAGTGCGAAAAGTGAGTTGGAAGCATATTTTCTCGGCAGCTTTGGTAGTTCGCAGCGCCTCGACTACGGTACAGGACATGAACTAAGTTTCCTCGCTTTCATTGGTTGCTTGTGGAAACTCGGTGCATTTCCCGAGTCGCGGGATGGCGATCAAGAGCGCGGTATCGTACTCGGTGTCCTGGAACCCTATCTCGTTCTCATCCGGCGCCTGATCTTGACATATACGCTTGAACCTGCCGGATCACATGGCGTATGGGGCCTAGACGACCACTCATTCCTCCCATACATCTTCGGCAGCGCACAATTCTCCCCGGCTATTTCAACACCCGGCGACGTAGCGGCAGAGGGTTCACTGCCCGCAGCCCCAAACCCAGGCGACGTTGCCAAAGCCCCAGCCGTCGAGCGCGAACGAAAACGAAACATGTACTTTAGCGCCATCGGCTTCATTTACGACGTGAAAAAGGGACCTTTCTGGGAACACAGCAACATCCTATACGACGTGTCTGGCGTAAAAGCCGGCTGGGCAAAAATCAACAAGGTACGTTTCAGTCTAGCCCTCAAACACACATACACACACACATATTATATTACCAGACCCGACACTAGCAACCAGAAAACAAACAAATGAAATTAACAGTAAAATCAGGGCATGATCAAAATGTACAACGCAGAAGTCCTCTCCAAATTCCCCGTCGTCCAACACTTCCCCTTCGGCTCCCTCTTCTCCTTCACCCCAGACCCCAACGCCCGCAAAATCCAAGCCACAGTGCATACAGCCTCGCAGCCCAAAGCCTCAGCCTCAGCGACCCCGCGTCCCCAACCCGCGCTGCGGGATCCCCTCGCTGACACAACAACGGCCATGCCATCGACAGCAAGGCCGGGCGGAGCGGTAGGAACAGCGGCGCCGTGGGCGAGAGGCGCGGCGGGTCCGGGGGTCCCGAGTGGAGTTAATCAGCCTACGAAGGCACCGTGGGCGAGTAGGACGCCTGCGCCGCCGCCGCCGCCAACGACAACGATGCCGGGGGTTGGGACGGCGGCGCCGTGGGCGAGGAAAAAGGAGGATGGTGCTGCGGGGGATGGACAGCAGAGTACGAGGGCGCCGTGGGCGGATAGACGGTGAGATTGTGGATATAGATATTGTCAAGTGTAAAAATTTTAGTTTGAAAGCATTAGTTTACATGCTTAACGTGTAATTCATGCCACAAACTAAGGGATTGAACAAAAAACAACAACCCAAGCAGTCTCACAATCTCACAACGTTCACAATTTAAATTTTTTTATTCGGAGCAAAAAGAAAAAATTACATAAAAAAGCAGTCTAGCACAATTACCCACCCAATATTCTCCCCAGTTTTAATCCCCTAACCTTTCACCTTGACCCACTACGCAACATTCTCCATAAGTCCTGCTCCCACCGTCCTCCCCCTCTCTCTAAGCACAACCCGCATACCCTCTTCAATAGGCAGCTCCCTCTCAAGCTGGACCACAATCCTCGCCACCTCACCCGGCTTCACAATTCTCGGCTTCTTCTTCATGACCTCGCCCGTGAATTTGTTGAGGCGGGCACTCAGCGTACGGATGCTACCCGGCGAGTTGAGGGTGCTGCGAAACACCTCTACCGGCATAGGTAGCACATGCTCGAAGGCCAGGAGCTTGGACGTAAAAGCCTTGACGAGTCTGACTGGGTCTTTGGGGGCGCAGATAATGTCGCCTTGGCGGAGATGTACAGGGTCAATGTCTGTAAGGTGTAAGGTAGGGATTTGGCCTGCGACTGCCCAGTCTACAGGGGCGTCTTGGACTTCGATGGATTTTATAGTTGCGGTTTCGTTGGCGGGAAGGGCGAGGATTACGTCGCCTATTTGTAGTGTTCCAGAGTCGATTCGTCCGGATATGCTGAGCGGTGAGCGCATGTCGCCCTTGAATACATCGGCGACAGAAAGGCGAAGTGATTTTTGGAGGTTGCGTTGTGGTATTTCGATGCGTTCTAGGGCCTCGAGTAATGTCTCGCCAGTATACCAATGAGCGGCAGAGTTTTCAATCTTCCTGACAACATTCTCGCCTGTAAGACCGGCTAGCGGGATGAAGGTAATTCGTTTCTCCAGGAAACTTGCTTCGGTCAGGAACGCCGTCATGCGTTTAGCTATCTCGTCGAACCGAGTTTTGGACCACCCAACCATGTCCATCTTGTTGACAGCGATGATAATATGTTGCATGCCCATGCTTCGTGCAATCATGATGTGCTCCTTGGTTTGACCCTTGAGGCCAGACTCGAAACTATTAGTGCTGGCGTCAATTACCAGGACTGGGAAGTCGGCCTGCGACGCCCCAGATATCATGTTTGGGATGAAGTCCTTGTGACCAGGAGCATCTAATATCGTGAATCTTGTCTTCTCTGTCTCGAAGTAGTTTGTCGCAATGTCCACTGTAACACCACGACTTCTTTCTTCACTCGTTTCGTCCATGACCCAGGCCAATGCAAAGGACGATTTTCCAATAGTCTCAGCTTCCTTTCGTAGCTTGTCTATTGATCGCTGGTCGATGACTTTGAGATCGTATAGCAAACGGCCCATCAATGTGCTCTTGCCATGGTCGACATGCCCTGTACATGGTCAATTTGGTTCCTCCAGACAGTTTGTTATATCTGGAGACACTTGGATCAGGTCTGAACTTACCAACAACCACAAAGTTTGCCAGTCGTTTCATATTGCTCTTTTCAAATTCATCCACAACGTTCAGGTTCTTGCTCTTAACCTTTGGTTCATCGGCAACAGAGAGCTTCTCGACCGACTCGGTAAGATCACCATTAGCCTGCTTCTTTTTCTTCTTCGGTGTGGTCCCTGGTAGTCTTAGATATGCATATATAGATGACACGTGACAGTCTAGTGACGCCCGCCGCCTGCGCTCTTTGCCTGTGCTGCCCGCACGATATCGTCCGGACTTGGTTCCGAGAAGACTTTTGTACCATCAAATGACTTGTAGGCAGCGAATGGCACGGGAAGCTCTTGGACGTGGAGGTGCGGCTGCTTTGACAGCTTATCGGAACCACAGAGAGTTGAAGCAAACATAGAAGCGATAGCACGCTGAGCTGGAGACTCGACCACAATGGCAGGCTGAGGGAGTTGGGGCTCTTCAATCTCGGGCTCTTTTGGTGTTTCTGGTGCTGGCGAAGGCGATCGTCTTCGAACAGGGTATTTAGATACTCGAGCTGGGCGACTTGCAGCTGCATCATGCAAAGGGTTGACGTTTTCCTGATTCTTGACCGAAAGCTTATCGAGCATCGCAACAGCCGAGTCCGCATCGCTATTGGCTTTGGAGGCAGCAGCTTCGGCTTCTTCTCGCTCCTTTCTGCGCTTAGCCGCGAGCGCAGCTAGCTTTGAAGAGCCACCTAGTAACCCCCCCTTATACTCTGGAGCTTCAATGGTGATACTGGCCAGTCGCTCGGGTGGTACATTGCCCCAAGGCACATCCCAGAAGAAGTCTGTGACAGCAGCGTTGGTAGGCATCGACAGTGGGGGCAGCGGTAGGTGATGGGCAACATGACGAGCGGGCTGGTGTCCATAGCTAGACCTCATGTAAGTTTGCTTACCTGTGGATGTGGGCGCATTCTGGTGAGCGGCGCTTGCAGCCTGGTCGAATCGCGATGCTGGTTTGGCCTTTTCTTGTTTCGGCGCCTCTTTCTTGGGCTCTGCAATCCCCAGTTTATTTTTCAAGTAGCTCACACTCTTTCCCACATCGTAGTAGTAGTGCCACAGAGCTTCTTGTATTTGCTCGTCGCTTGTGAAGTCGCTCATGTCTCCCATTGCTTCGCGCACCCGTATTGTGCCGACGCGCATCTGCTCTTTGTCTTCTTCCGACATGCCGTCTCCCGCGCCGCCCTCATCGCCTTCTTCCTCGTAATAGTCGTCGTCGTAGAAGTCATCGTCATCATAATCGACGTTGCGCGTGCGCGAGAAACCGCTTTTGGGTGGCATAGCAGGTGACCTCAGCTGTTTTAGCGGCCGAGGGACGTGTAAACAGCGAATGAGTAAAGTTCCCTATAGCTGCGTTGTTGTTTGGGGGTAGCTTTTTGTATGTGTGGGGGTGTTGAGCTATGTGTCGGGCAGCTTTGATTATCGGTCTTTTGGTTGGCGAGAATTCATCGCGTCTCCCTTGGTTGACGTCGGTGGTGGGGCAATGTCATTGACGTATAGCGCGGCTGTAGCTGCCCCGCGCTAGGCTTCAGCCGTCAAAGATGCCTCCATATTATATCAATCTCAACCTTGCTAATAAGTTGTACTCTAAAGCCGGATCTCCGCTATGCATTCACGTGAAGCAGGGAATCATAGGTATGAATTTCTTCATTTTACATACTTCAGTTCGCCATAATTGGACTACGCTCAGTAGTGGTGGGGTATAGAATTAGTTGAAAAGCAAAACAAAACGTTAAAGAGAAACCCTTAAAAGTTGCACCATGCGCCTGCCTGCTGCAATACCATGTTTTTTTTCTTCGTTTCGTAGTTTACCTGCATCTCCTCTTCGCCCGCTCCATTGCAGCCTTGCGACTTCCCCATATGAAGATTTTCTATTTCTCCGCTTTGTCCTCTGGGGCAGCTGGAGCAGCTGGGGCAGCCGGTGTAGCAGCCGGCGCAGGCTCAGAAGTCGGGGCAGCCGGGGCAGCTGGAGGAGCAGTCGCTGTGGGCTCAGCGCTGGGAGCTGGAGCAGCATCAGCAGCTGGGGCGGGGGCAGGGGTGGGGGCAGCCGGTGCAGTGGTTTTATCGTCATGAAAATTGGGCTCATCGAACATCGGTCCACTGGTAGCGCTCATGCCAGCGGCAGGCTTACTGTCCGGAAGCTCAGGGAGATCCAAGGGGGCAGCTGGTGCAGGCGCATCAGCAGGCTTAGCCTCTACATCCTTTGGTGCTTCGGTAGATGCGGGCTGAGCCTCAGCAGCAGTGGGAGGAGCGGGCGCAACAGCGCCGACAGGCTCGGGTGCTGGAAGAATTTTGTTAGTCTAATGCATCATTGGTGAAAAAGGAAATCTTTAGAAGTGGGGCGTGAAGGAAATATGGTATCTGGGCGTAACATCGTAGTCGGGTCATCATGCTCGTGCGGCCAGTGGCCATGGTGCGACGCGCGTCTCTTGGAGAGCTCGCGCATGCTTAGACGGGATCATTCCACTGGTTGTCCAGGGCGACTTTCATCCGCCGTCTGGAACCGTCCCAGGCATCTTGGTCGTGATAGTGTTGTGGAGTAGAGATTGAATGAGATGTTGACCTACTCTGCGTAGCTTTCTTGACCTCGGTCAGTGCAGCAGCTTCGTCCTTGTTGCTTTCGCCTTGTGCCGGGGCCGCAGCTGGGGCAGCGGCAGGAGCAGCGGCAGGAGCAGCAGCGGGCGAGGCAGGCTGAGGCAGTTCGGCGGGAACAGTCGACGTCTCTGCATTTGCAGCCTCGGGCGCAGTAGCGGGGGCGGGAGCCGCAGGCGTCGTCTCGGTAGGCTTGGTCGCGGAATTGGATGGTGTGGCCGTCTCAGGAGCGGCAGCGGGCTGGGAATCCTCGGGCTTGGACTCATCCTTCTTGGACTTTTTGCCTCTGAAGATGCCCTTGAGGGCCTTCTTCATCTGGTCCATGGCGTCGAGCGCTGGGGCAGGGAATGCGTCAGATGGCGAGTCTTGGAGGGGAGGTGGGGTGCGTGGACTGGTGTGGCAATGGGGTAATCGTAGGAGATACACGTGTGCGTGAGAGCAGATGTACGTGGTCGCAATCACAGGTGACGGTGGAATAGGCGCCAGCGAGACACTGAAGGTGAATGGGGATTGTACTTACGAACCCCCGGCATGGTTCAAGAGCTGGTGGCTGGCGGCCAGATGGAGACGCGAGAAACAAAGGCACACGGCAATGAGCGTGTGCAGAGGAGGGGCGCAAAAGCGATGCAGTGAGTAGCAGGACAACGGTAGACGATGTTCACAAAGGATGTGGAGAGACAACGGAGGCAGATGGGTCGAGGGGAGCTCTGCCCTAGCTGCCGGGTGTAGAGTAGCTCCTGGCTGGACCCTTGGGGCTAGGCGAAACAGTCTCCACCTCCGCACCTTGCCATGCACGCCAGCCCGCCCCCCAGCATAGCGCCATTTGCTGGTATGCCATGGCCAACTGGGGTTTCACACTACCTGCGACATGCTTATGCATCCATACTTCACCTCTACACGCCCTTGGCCGCCCTGCTTCGCCCTGTTTTTGCTGTCCTCGCCCGGCTCAAGATGCTGCAGTGTGCTGCAATGTGACATCTCTGCCGTGCCGCAGGCGCACATTTCCATGCAAGCCGGATCGGGTTAGCGCTTATCCGCTTGGGGGCTGTTTATCCAACCCCAACGACAGCTCGCATGTTTGCCCGCTCAGCCTCTGTTTGTGACACTACACACCATGGACAGCAGCAATTCGACAGCAGCACACAGCGGGGGCTCTCTCGCCCTCGCTGACTTGCAGAACAGTCTCCTTGTGCGGGCTTTCTTCACCATCTTGGCCATCTGTGTTTGCACCAGAGTTATCTCGTCGTACCGCTACAGATCTATCAAGTACGGCCAGGGGCGCAACGTAGCGCCTCCTACCATTCCGTATTGGATTCCCGGCCTACGACATGCTCTGTCCATGGCACTGGATAACAAGCAATTTATGGCCAGATGCTTGTAAGTTTTCCTAAACAATTATTGTGCACTCGTCAAGCGCCCGACAAAGCACGTGACAAGATCAGACACTGATTGCATACCCAATATCCTCAATTGATACTCACACCCCTCCAGTAACAAATATGGCGACGGGACTCCCTTCTATCTCGATGGTGCTGGCGAAAAGATGCTGTTTGTGCGAGACCCAGAGCACGTCAAGACCGTGCTCATGTCGGTGCAGCATTTCGACCCCAACCCTTTCATCCATGACAAGATTCTGAGAGCGCTGATGGATAGCCCGCAAAAATCTGTCGATTACTATAATAGTCCAGGAGTCAACACGGATTACATTCAGATAACGCACATCCGCCAGCACACCACTGGCTCCGGCCTCAGCTTGCTCGATAAACGAATGTTCGACTTGATGAAGCAAAGTGTACAACAAGCTTTGGAGGTTGCTCCCGGAACTGAATGGAAACATGTTCCGGATCTCTTCGACTTCATCACATACCATGTGACCCGCGCCGTTCTTGTCTCAATCCTCGGCTCTTCCATGGTCGACGAATATCCACAGCTCATCGACGATCTCTGGAAACTTATCGAGGCAACCCCGGAGTTCTTTATGGGCCTCCCCCGCTTCGCCATGCCCAAGTCGTACGCTGCACGTGACCGGCTGCTCGTCAAACTCCGCGAATATTCCATCAAATCCGAAGAACTGAGGAAAAGCAATCAAGCCGATACAAAATGGGATCCTGTAGCAGGCTCTGGTCTACTCCAAGAGCGAGAGAAGATGTACAGCGAGTTGCCTGGTCACGATGTACAAGCTCGAGCATCCCAAACCCTTGGCCTTTTGTATGGCGCAACCAGTCTCGTTGTGCCCATCACATTCTGGTACTTGTTCGAGATCCTGCGGGACCCCAAGATGCACGCATACGTTAGTTCGGAAATTGAAGCCCATGCCACGCCAGAGTCGGGAATGTACAACTTCATGCAGCTTGCCACACTCCCTTTGATACAGTCACTGCATGCTGAGACAACGCGTCTTTACAGCTCTAATCTTGCGGTACGTCAAGTCACATCACCAGTGTTCAACCTTGACGACAAATACACTGTCACCAAAGGCACTGATATCTTCATTTCAAACAAATTCAACGCCCAGTTTTCTGCAGCATGGGCTCAAGCGCGCCCCAATGCTCTTGAACGCCCGCTAGATGTATTTTGGGCAGAGCGCTTCCTTGTGGACGGCAAGGGACGAGACAAGAAGGAATCTTTCAGCGATGCAGGTCTGTCTGGCAACTGGACGAGCTATGGTGGTGGCGAACACAAGTGTCCCGGGCGCCACTTTGCACGCCACATTGGCCTCGTCACACTGGCTATTCTGATGGGCGAATTTGAAATCGAAATGGTAGACAAAGAGGCTGCAAGCAAGACGGTGCCACCAATCAAGAAGGCGGCTTGGGGCACCATGAAGCCAACCGGCAAGGTTGGAGTAAGGATTAGAAAACGCAAGGCCTAAGGAACGAAGGCTGTACACGTTGATGGAATATTGATAGATTACCATTTTCAAGAAAGCTTAACTAATCACTAAATATCCTTAATAATCAAAGTCTTCAAAAACCACCTTCTTCCCCTCCAGCCACCCCAACACCTCTTTCCTCATCCCCTTCCCAACACACATATACCACACCTCCGCCTCTACATCCTCCAAATCACTCTTCCCCATCCTTCTCCTCTCAACAACCGCATCTCCAAAATCCGTCTCTCCCTCCAGCTTCTCCTCCCCCGTCAAAAATACTCTCGTACAAGCCGCAAGCCCCGGATACCTCGCAAACGTATCCCGCACAAATCCAACATCCTCCCTCCTCACTGCCCAAAACAATCGAAACCTCTCAGGCACAAGTTCCACCTGCTCTATCTGTCCCAATAAAGGCGTAATCCCCACTCCCGCAGCTACAAACGGCACCACGACCCCTTTTTGGTCACCTTGCTTAACAACAAAATCTCCCCCTCCAACCCCCAAAATCGGGACTTGCAGCCCCGCCCTCTCGTTCGTCTGGAACAGAAACTTGGTCACGGGCCCAACCTTCCGGATCGTAATGTCAAATTCGCCAGCAGCAGCACCGGAAGAAGATGACGACGACGACGACGAAGGAGGCGTCGAAGAAATAGTAAACGTGCGTACGAAATCGTCATTCAGACTGGTCGGATCGTCGTCGCGCATATGCTCGTATCCCGTGTCGAGTTCTTGTTTGAAGTCCAGTGCTATCCATTGGGCGGGCGTGTAGCTGAAGCTGGGATCGTCTGGGACGGAGAAGGTGAAGCGGGCGATGCTGGGTGTGAGCAGGGTTTTTTTGGTCAAATGTGCGGTTTGACTACGTGATGGTGATGGTATGAGGCTGGATTTCAGGTTCCCCTCGGAAGCCAAGGGGCGGACGCGCGGGTTGTATGGGCTTTGTGTTTTTCTGTTGCCGCGGAAGGGCAGGCCGGCGCTGACGAAACGTGAGTCTTGGATAGTGATTTTGACGGTGAGATTGCTGCCTGGGAGAATGTCTGCGGCGTCTTTGCCGGCGAGGATCTGGGTGCGGCCGGTTATATAGAGCATGTCTCCGGTGGCGTAGTTGGGGAATGCGAGGCCGATTTTGGGGTTGAGTTGCAGGTTGCCGAGGGATTGGTAGAGGCGGTTGCCCGAGTACTCTGGGTATACAATTTCTGAAGGGGAGATGATGCGGACGAAGCCTGGAGGGCCGCCGCGGTGGTTGACGTCCATGTCGTCCGAGGTGCTACTGCTGAGGAAGAACATGTCGGATGCTGATATTAGGGCTCGGCCTTCGTCTGACAACGAGGGACCTTCGGCGACTAGTTTCGACGAAACAAGTGCAGGATGAATCTCATATTGATTGATGTATTTAGGACAGTTGCCTAGACTTTGCTCGATCATCGTGACAGCTTGGATCATATGTCGTGGTTCTGCTGGAGCATCGTCGCTCTCAGCTTTGCCTTCGATCTCGCGCACCATGCAGCCAACAAGGCGGCCAGCCGTCTTGACTCTTTTCCGCGTCATGAGATCGATGGCTAGTCCAGCAACAAGCTTTGCGTCTTCTCTTTCTCGCGGCTTTTCGAATCCCTTGCTGCCTGCTACCAGCGCTTGTACGACGGGATCATGCTTGCCGTCTACAAGCGTAAATGTACCTACAGCGCCTCCGCCGATTGTCTCTGTAAATCCGGGGGATCCGCCCCAGAGTGTGACCCAGGGTCTGTCTTGGGCGTCCAAAGTACCAAATGCGAGCAGAGGGGCGCGCTGGAACATAGCCGATGCTTGAGCCGTGAGATGTGTTGATGTGGGGTTGTCCTGTGGTGGCACACGCAGGAGATGATGCATCTTTTCTTCGCCTTCACTCCATTCCATTCCTATTGAGAAATCCATTTTGTCGATGTATCTGTGACAGTCCCTAATCGTTGGTGGTTTGAATGTTAATCGTGATTCTTGCCTTTGTTGTACGTAGTTTGACTTTTAGAGCATATGGTTAGACGGACGAAGATATATCATTCTTAAACTAACACTCACCCCCCTCACTTCGGCCCTGAACCAATATGTGCTTACTAAGTTCTATCTGCGTTTATAAACAAGTATGCCGATGACTCGACGTCTTCTCCGCACGCCGTGCTGATGGCGCCTTAGGAACTTGCCGTTGTCGGCACTGACGAACATGCCGCTTGCCACGCATGGCGGGGCTGCGTACTACTACGTATGTACTAGTGGTATCAAAGTCGGCCCTAGTTATGCAATGCAAGAGCTGACAAAGACGACTCGACGTATCAAAGCCCAGAAAACGTTAGAAATGCATTGAACTATATATCACGTACGCTGTTTTCTGTAGTGAAAATGTAAACATTCGAGTGCAACGAAAATTTCTTGATTAAACAGGCCATCCAGGAAAAAAACTGAACGCTATATAACTAGTACTTGTACTCAGCGATAATCATCTCTGCCGCTCGTTCAGCAATCCCGTACACCAGCGTCTGAATATGCGTACTGGGCAATAAAGGAATTACACTCGCATCTACAATCCTTAGACCCTGTGTGCCATGAACCCTCAGCTTCGCATCAACTACACCACCATCCTTCTCCGGAAGCAGCGCAGCAGTACCGACAGGGTGATAAATACTCAGCGTATTTTCCCTTGCAAAACTCTCCCAATCAGCATCTGTCTGTACGGCACTACCAGGTTCGTATTCCTGAGTCCATACTTCGCTCATTGGGGCAGAGGAAGCGATTTTGCGCATGAACTTTGCGAGACTGGTGATGGCATGGAGGTCGTAGGGGTGTGAGAGATAGTTTGGATTGATGAGCGGTTTGTCACTGATGTTTCGCGAGGTGATGTGGATGTTGCCTTTGCTCAGGGGGTGCTGTACTGCGCCGATGAGGGAGAAAGTGCCAATGCCGAATTGTGAGGAGTTGGCTGCGGGGTAGCCCTTGCGGCCAGTGTAGCCGTCTGAGAAGATGACTTCGAGTTGGGGGACTTTGTTGTTGAGAGATGGGGAGGAGTAGCTTTTCTTCAGCTTGTCGGTGGCCGAAGTTAGGGTTGTGTCGTTGTCGACTAGGGCTTGCAGTTTTGAGGCCGTCGCATTAGAAATCAGTTTCCAAGGGAAGTAGGCGTATCCGCTCCCAGTGTAGTCGTAGAGCGAGCGCTCTCCAGCGTTGTACAGGGCTAACTCGGCAGCCGCGCGTGTGGCGTTTCTGAGAACGTCGAATGAAGTGTATTCTGGTTTGAGTTGGAAGGCCAGCTGGATGCGGATGTGGTCCTGAAGGTTTTCACCAACAGAAGGTAGGTGCTTGACTACTTGAATTCCAAGTTTCTCTAGGAGGGCCGAGTCGCCAATACCTGAGTGCTCGAGAAGACCAGGCGTTTGGAAGGACCCAGCTGACAAAATCACTTCTCGCCGCGCGCTGATGATAGTACCATCCTCCAAGGTAACTCCGGTGGCAGTTTTGCCTTTAAAGTTGACTTTTGCGACTCGGGTATCCAGCTTTAATTCAAGGTTCTGTCCAGCGAGTTGGAGATACTCTGGCGCGTAAGAACGAGTATAATTTGGCCGGATGTTACTCGGTTGGGTCGCTACACCAATGGGATGGCCATTAAGGGATTCTCGATTAGGAGCCAGACCCAGATTGTTCATGGTTGGGATCCAGGTGCCTTGCTGACGAGGAATGATTCTGTTGATAAGAGTTCGAATAGGACCAGTCTTGCCAACGCCATCGGAGCCATATTCAGGAGATGGCAAAAACGTCTCGACCTTTAGCATGGCCGCGTACAAATTCTTCCAGTTCCATCCAACGTTGCCAAGTTTCTCCCAAGCATCTAACTCATACTCCGAAGTGCGGTCCCATGTCATGAGGTTGAGCGCCGAACTTCCACCAAGCACTTTTCCACGATTCTGCGTAAAGACGCGATTGTTGGCATTTTGCTGTGGTATCGTGGTGAAGTTCCAGTCGTATTTCCCACCGAGCGTCGAACCTTTTCTTCCTGGAATGAAGATTCCCGGGTCTTGACGGCCATCGGGCCCTGCTTCTATGACCAATACCTTGATGTCCGGGAGGCCGCTGCTTATGCGTGATGCAACGGCGAGACCTGCAGTGCCGCCACCTACAATGATCTAGCCTGTTTGTTAGGACACCGATGTTTGCAAGCTCAGTTTGACAGCTCAATGGGAGACTTACAAAATCGTAGGAGTTGGAATTTCCAGACGCACTCTCTGCACGCTTGACTGTGGCTGCATCAGTCTGCTCAACCAGCCCGTACACAGCCAATGCCAATCCTAGGAACTTCATCTTCCCGTGAGACGTGGAATAAAGGCAGTCCAGAGCAGAGCACTCAGGGTGCGGGTGGGCGGAGCAAGGGTATTATAATAGCCTCCGTTAGGCGTCCAGTTATCCTCCACATGTATAGGTTGGACGACATGTCCGCGTCAATGAGGCCGAAGACATGCATGTTCAATGAGTTCTAGCTTGTTGATCCGAAAACGATTTAGTTGCACAGGGGCATCTAAGCCTAGATCCTCTTCGTCGTATTTACCCGATGCATAGACGACACGACGTTGACAGAGGATTTGCGTACGAGATCCCATTGACTTTTTTCTTGGGTGTCTGCGCCTAGTTGCATGGTTCCGCAGTCCAGGGACATGCAAAAGTTGCGCATCTAAATTGCGTGGATGCCTGGCTGTAAGTACTATTCTTCAGCTGAACGCCTCTTACTCGCTTGTGCAAAGGTGATTATCGTTGTTCTGGGCAAATGTGGGACTTCAGCTTGGCAGCATAACAAACGTATTCGGTGTTGCCCCGAATCATCCAGGATCCTGCGTCTTTTCCATGAATACATGTCTGGTTAATTTCCCCGGTGGATCCGGAGCCGGTACTTAGAGATAGGGCAAGGTTCTACGCGCTAGTGAGGAAAGCTTACTTTTGGTCTAACTAAGTAAATATTATTACCATCTCTTCCTGCACTACCATTTCTTGTTGTACTACCATCGCTTCATGCACTGATATCCTGAATGGCAAGCCTTGGAGGGGTCGCACTTCACGTGACTCCGAACCCCGCAATGATCATTACGTTCTGACATCGACGTCCCTGGGCCTCTAGCCTGTTCGTCTCTTGTGAAAGAGAGATTCCTTGTTGCTTGTAACACATGGCCCTCTGTACTGTCTGCCAAAACTTCCCCTTTGGGGACATCCTCCAAAAACTAGAACCCGATCTCAGCCACGTTAAGACAGTCAGGGGTAAGAACAAAAACAGCATCCCGCACCATGCGACAATGGAGGCTCTGACTCTGGCCGCGGGCGAGGGCTGTCCGCTTTGCTCGCGCTTGCTCGAGGACCTTCGCTTCAAGGAAGACCCTCATTTTCCACTAGTGGTCTACGCTATTGAAAGAAAGCGGCAAGGTCTTGACGCGGACGGGAGCACAGCGGTTGGTACGCCAGGGATTGAGTTCGCTGAGACATATAGTTGGAGGAGGTACGAATCCCACTGGACGAAGCCGTTCTACGTTGTTCCGGTCGTGGGACCCCCAGGCCTACTTATAACTCACAGTGTGCCGTGGCCAACGGTCGAAGATGTGGCTAAGGAGTGGTTGCGCTTCTGTGGTGAAAAGCATCCACGGTGTCCACCTTGGGGACCGGCCGCTTCCAACACGCGTGATTGATGTAGGTAAAAAAGACTCCTCGCAGGTGCGCCTTGTTATATCCCACGGGCATCTCGACCGCTACATTGCGCTGAGCCACTGTTGGGGCCACCGCCAGCCGATTATTACTACCAAAGACAACCTCGATAGACATGTTAGAGAGGGAATTAAGATTAGCGACTTGCCCCAGACGTTTCGCGATGCAATCGAAGTGGTGCGGGCACTCGGTTTCCAGTATCTGTGGATTGATTGCCTGTGCATTATTCAGCGAGATGACGAAGACTGGCAAAAAGAAGCCGCGCGGATGCCAGAGGTCTATGCGAACGCCGCGGTGACAATGGCGTCGTGCGTAGAAGACGCCTTTGTCGGGTTCCTAAAGGAGTCGTCCTGGACTCCGTCGGCTGCTATTTGTCAGTTCAATGTCCAGTGGAACAATGCAGGTTCTCCGACGACAATTGCGATTTATGAGCAATCTGTGGAGAATGCCTGGCACGAGCACTTCTATCCAGAAGACGGCTGGCCCTGGAACTCGAGGGCCTGGACACTCCAAGAAAGCCTCTTGTCTGCACGGATCCTGTATTTCGCCAGCGGTAAGCTTTTCTATGAGTGCAACACGGCGCGGTTCTCACGTTCCTGCACTTCTCCGTTACCACTTGAATCTTTCCACGAGGATTCCACCATCGTTACGAAGACCGCGTTGCAGGAGCTTGACGTCCATGCGCTAATGGGCATGTGGTACCGCATTGTTGCCGATTACAGCCGCCGACACCTGACCAAGGGACAGGATCGTTTCGCTGCGATATCAGGTGTTGCGCGCATTATTGCAGAGAGGGTGAGAAGCGAGTACTGGGCTGGGTTGTGGGCGTCGGAATTCGTCTACGGGCTCCTGTGGAAGTCGTCGTATCCAATCAGGGAGATGTTCGCGTGGCGTACTGCATACGACTACAACTCTGTCAGCCAGTACGTAGCCGAAAACCCCGGGCCGTCTTGGTCATGGGCAGCGTGCGATCATGGAGTGGCGTACCCTGACGACGTACCGCGTGATATGTGTATGGCGTGGTCTCAATGGGCCGGCAGCGTCGAGAAGATTAAACCCGATGTACTAGCTGTGTGCTGCGAGCTGCTGCGCACAGATATCAAGTTGCTAGATGATGCCTTTGGTTCCATCGAAAAAGGCTCCTTAACCGTAGTCAGCACCGTACGAGAGGTCGAAACCCGGTGGCCGATGGGTTGCGAAGTGGTTTGTAAGCCCACCGATTCCGAGAACTATGCTACTTTAGGGCGGTACACCACTGATGGTGAAAGTTCAACAGATGATAGCAAGGGAAAATTAGTTGGTGTGCCGGTTGCTGTTTGGCTGAGACCCTCGAGTGACAGAGGTCACAAAAATAAAAAGGAAGACAAAGGAGAAGCGTACAGCAGTGATGAGGAATTAGACAATGAATCAGAGCTCAACTATTTCGCATGGGTCTTACGGCGAGACAATTCTGACGAAGCTACGTATCGTAGGGTAGGGTCAATTGAGGGATCGAGGCTAGACGACCTTCAGTGGCTTCTAAGTGGAGTAAGAGAGCGTATAGTAGTACTATAATCTTGATAGCTACTATGTTAACTTACCTCCACCCCTACCTATTTACTACTATGGATATACTTTGGTATTCTTTATGTAAAAACTAATTACTGAGAATCTCAAGACTAGAAGTTTCATATGACTCTTAACTAAGATATACTCTTGATACCTCTACCTGCTAATTCTGCTTATCCGAGCGGGAAATGAGTAGGAGCCGGATGTCTGAACGTGGTAAGACGCGCTGTGGGTCTAGTTCTTTCTGGACATGCAAGATCCAATCTTGCCCGTGCATTGCAATATCTACAATTTGAACAGGCGCATTGATACCACAAGGCGTTAAGAGCTTTAAAGAGACAAGATCGAGGATTGAGATGGAGCCTGGTGGCGTGATAGTTGGCAGAGTTTGACCGCAAGGCTGTCATGAAGCGTACATTCCGCGTTAGCACCAGAGAAACCCTCCCCATACCAATAACCAAAACTACTCCCAGGAATATCTCTACAGAAACTTATCTGTTAGAGTTCAATGCTGTCATCATAACAAACACACACGCCGTCACGGCTCGATCTCGGCATCAAGATCTACAGACGGAACCAGAAATAGCTCACCGAGCTGAACCCTAGTAACCAAACGCCTCCCTGTGCATCCCGCCCAGCGCCCTAATCCCACATGTAATTAACCCACCGCCTACACTCATTTGTCCCTCATCGCACAAACTGTAATTCTTCTTACCTCCAACCCTTGTCTACCGCCCGAAAAGCAGCCCTCTTGCTCTCACTCCCCGCCCGCCCGCTATGGCGACGCGTAAAGGCCGCGTGAAACCCACGCCGTACCCTTTCCTCTGGTTCCACCTTCCACGAAGCGCACAACTAGTCTCGTCGCTCGTGGTAGCGGGCATTATGTCGTATTTCTTGCGCGAACTATCGCGGGATGGGTATTTGTTGCCCTGGACGTTTATCTTGGTATGGTTCTCCCAGAATATTTGTTCGATTGAAAACCTTTTGGGCATTATTGCCTGATGCCATGAGGGGATGTAGAAAAGAGATCAACAGCTAATTCGAGAATAGCTTATGACGGTATCAGTCTTGACTATTGTCGCTCTTGCATCGACTATTGTGCTACATTTATATCACGGTCTTAATCCTGGGTTGAATATCACCGTCAACAGTTCACTCGGGCTGTTATGGATTGTGTCGTTTGGGCTGTTGACGAAATGGACTTCCGGCACGGTAGCGGGTGTATGTGATACTTCGCATTGGGACTCTGATACAGGAGTGAGCATATGTAGGCAGTATAAGGCGCTGTTTAGCTTTGCGCTGCTGGGTTTGCTCGCGACGCTGCTGGCGCTGGCTGTAGATGTCAAGGTGCTGAAGGAAGCTCGGACAAGAGGTGCCTTTCAGCCGGTGAATGGAGTGGCGGGCGAGGGGAAGGGAGCTCCGGAAAACCCGCAGGACCCGGAAGCCAATCCTAATCCGATCGCTGCGCGAACAAGGCAGGTTAGAGGTGGCGAGGGGTATGCGTTACCAGAAGAGCAGTTTGAGTATGATGATTTGGAGTATCATGGAGCAGCAGGAGAGATTCGGCGGAGGAGTTTGGAACATAGAATTTGAGGTATGGCAAATTCAATTCATTAATGTTACATACAAAGCGCCGTATTCTCAAGTACTGATACACTAATCTTTTGCAAACGCCGCCCAATGCTGGCATTATGCCGGGTATCATAGTAGAAGAAGATTAGAAGATGTCGTCCATATTCGCCTCCTTCCCACTCATGGCTGCCGCTGCCGCATGTTCGGTGCCGACATCTGCATCCATGGACATGGACGGAGCATCCCTTGCTGCAATCTCGTCTTCGATGAAGACCCCAAAGCCTCCAAAGGCTTCGCGCAACGCGCGATCGCAGTAGTCCTGCAAGCTGTGTCCTCCAACAAGATGTGCCGAGTCTTTCTTCATACGTGCATACCAGTCGACATCGTAATTATCTTGAAGTACGTAGTACTGAGGCGTAATGTTGTATCCCCCCCATGGATCGAAGGGCGGCTCCTTTGGTGGTGGGACATATTTCTTGAGTCCACGGAACATGAGATCGGCGCCATCATCCTTCTGGCCAGTACCTTTGGCACCACCAGTCTTCCCAGCGTCACGCTTCGTGGTAGCGGCATTTGAGTCTGCTTTTTGGAGTGCTTCGAAACGGTGAAGCTTGTTCCACGTCGCATCCACGTCAATGTTGAGGATAAGGTTCCAGGTCATTTCTTCGACCTTTTCTAGGTAATCGTTGTAGTCTCTCAACGTCTCGAAGTCGTCTTCCGTCTTGTTCATACTGGTCTGCTGTTAGCCTAACACCAATTTGTTCACGTCCAACTTCACTTGCATCTTCATAACCTTCTTTCGCAGATCCACCTCCCTTTCCACCTTCAGGTCTTCAAATGTCGCCCTTCGAAAGTTCCTGTATGCCAATGTCTTCGCGCACCCCGCTACAGGACATATGTTGTTTCCTTTGTTGCCTCCGAATAGACGCTCGACACAGGTATCGCACATGGAATGATAGCACGTAGGGTTGATTTTGAATTGCATGTTCGGGTCAAGGTAACCCGACGCCTTGCAGACGGGGCATACGCCTGAGAGAGAATCAGCGAGAGGTTCGCGCGGTGCATGTAGCAAAGATAGGTTATATAGAGATTTAGAAAGGGCAAACGCACCGCTATCCTGCTTCGACGCGCCTGTCGCGCGCCCAGATCTCGACATGGCGGAGGTGAGGCGAAGATGATGGGAAGCTCCGCAGGCGAGTAACTTATCTTGGGCTGATTACTCAGCGATAGGATTTCGCTTGTAGCTCTATTAGACCGAAAGCATGACTTGCAGCCCCGATACGAGTGGACAAAATAACGCGATAGCGACTTTTGTGAATGATTACATACGAAGTTGGTTGTAGCATTGTGAGACGCCAGTGCTCTGGATGCGCGCGCATGCCCCCCCTGCGGGGCGAGCTAATCGCCAAGCTCGGCCATTTTCTGCAGACAAATTCCGCCAACTTTTTTCTTTCCCTTCTCCTTCCTCCACCTCGCCTACTCCAGGACAAAACCGACATAATGGCAGCCTCGACACAAAGTGCTCTAGAGGATATTGAACGCCGCCGAGTGCAGCTTCAACAGACTGTCGATCAGCTCCGCAAGTCCTTGACTCATTGGACGACTTGGGAGGCCGAGTATGAGGCTCTCAAAGAAGAAATCGAGGCTGCCGGTGACCCCTCGCCCTCACAAATACGTGAGATGGCACGCGAACTGGAGCTCGAGCTGCTCAATGAAAAGGAGCTCGACGAGCTGCTCCGCAAGAAATCATCAACCGAAAGCACTGGTAACGAAGTTGTTAACAAGATATCTAGACGCATTGACTATGTGCGAACCAATAGTGCTACAATCGAGAAGAACCTTGATGCCGCCGAGAAGAAGCTTGCTGGTGTCGATGTTCTGTTAGAGCCTGGGATGGACAACGAAGAAGGCGAACCAATGATGGACATTGAAGAAGAGCTAGACGAAGAAGGTAACGAGATATCGAGCTCAGTCAACCAGACAGGAAAGGCTGCCGCTGAGCTTGTCGAGGTGTTGCGCAAGGCTGGGATTCAGAAGGCTGAGCTGGAGAAGAAGAATGCGGCGCAAGCAAAGGAACCAACACTGGAATCTTCGTCCACTTCTCTACCAGTTTCAGATTCTACCAAAGAATCCACACCTACTGTTTCGTCGGAACCAGCACCTGTCGAAAATTGTACTGCATCGAACCAGTCTCCTCCAAAGAAAGCTGTGTCCTTCGCTGAGAAGGTTGACGTCGAGCCACAGGGGAAGCCAATATCGAAACCTCAAGTTAGTCAAGACCTTGCATCAGTGCATTTTCCAGAGGGTGTCAGAGCAGTCGAGCTCAAAGATGACGAAGACCTTTCGTCGGCCGTTATACCCGAAGATGAGTCTCCAGAAGATGCCGAGCTTAGAAGGCAGATGCTGCAGTATGGCATGTCAGAAGTCGGGCAAGTCGTTGCAGAGCTCAACCTCGATAAGCCTACTGCATCATTCTCTGATGACGAATCGGACGATGACTATGATGACTACGATTACGATACTGAAGAGGAAGAAGAGGAAGATGAATACGGCCGTAGCACAAGGCCTGTCATCACTGAGGAATATCGAAAGCAGATGATGGAGCTGGAAAAGAAGCTGGGTGCTCGCATGCTTGAAAATATTGGACCGCGGCCGGACGATCGCCCATTAGACGAGCACATTGGTGATATTCGCACCATGCGTGTACAGAAAGACGAGCAGTTTGACAAGGC